AATCGATTGATTCAGATTATTATCATTACAATTATTGTCATTATTAATACTAACATTATTATTACTACTATTATTGTCATTATTGTTACTATTATCATTATTATTATTATTTTCCACATTATTCACCCTCTTTTATACTTATACAGCGGCTCGTCTTTGGTGGAAATCCGACTGTATCTAAACGTTCTCGAGTCACTGTCCGGTTGAAAATTGTATGTTACCACCGAATACGAGCACTGAAGCAGTTTTTCTGAAACCACGTGCACCATTCAAACTGGCTGCCTTCAACGTTCGCACATTTATGCAGGTCGGACAACAGATAGGGGTGGCTATGTCTTTGGAAAGTCTTAATATCGACGTGTGTTGTCTATCCGAGACCCGTATTCAAGACTCTGGCGAAGTACTACAAATTCGATCTCCATCTGTCGCTTCGAAAAGCTTGTTTTACGTGCGCTTATCCGGGGACCCTGTGGCATCTTCGTTTGGTCTTGCTGGCGTTGGTGTCGTACTAAGCGCTAGAGCTGAGGCAGCACTAGTCGATTGGATCCCCATTAACAGTCGGTTATGTGCAGTTAGATTAGAAAGTTCCATCAAAGTGAGAAGAAATCGGCGTGAGAAACGATGTCTTTTCGTCATCTCCGCCTATGCCCCGACAGATTGCAGCCCGGATGCAATCAAGGATGAGTTTTACCACCAGTTATCAGTTCTTCTCCAGAAAGTGCGTTCGACAGATATTGTAGTACTAGCCGGAGACTTGAATGCTCAGGTCGGGCGTCTAGGCACAGAAGAGAGTCGTTTAGGTGGCCGATGGGGACTCGTTGGTCGCAGGTCAGATAACGGGGACCGTCTACTGCAACTTTGCACAGACCACAACCTGTTTCTGGCTAGCACTAACTTTCGGCACAGTCATCGCCGATGTGCCACCTGGCGTCCTCCCTCTGCATCTCAAGCTTGGACTCAGATTGATCACATCGCGATCAGCTACCGCTGGCGTGGTTGTGTACAAGACTGCCGCTCCTTTTGGAGTACCTATCTGGACTCTGACCATGCCTTGGTCTGCGCCAATCTTGCCTTACTTTTCAGTGGCCAACGAAGTGACCACCAGCAAAGGATTGATGTCAGCAAGTTGGTTGAAACTTCTGTTGCAAGTAAGTATCGAACCGAGCTAGCCTCTAGGCTAGCTACCACTCCATCGAAAAGTATAGATGAGCATTGGTTGCAATTGCATGACACCATGAAAATGGCGGGAACAGTCAGTTGTGGGTTTGCGAAACGTCCCGCTTTTAAGCACTGGGTTTCTCCAGGTTCCTTACAACTCATTGAAGCCCGTCGGTCTACTCCGGGTGACCGTGAGTTTGACCATAAACGAAGGATGTTACGTAAGGAAATTGGGCAAACCTTGCGTAAGGACCGAGAAGCCTGGTGGTCGATGCGTGCTAATGAGCTGGAAGCAGCAGCTGCATCTGGTAACTACCGGAAGCTCTTCCAGCTCATCCGAGCCACTGGCAGCAAGAAGTCTGGTGTGAGTGAAACAATCTGCGAGGATGATGGGATGCCAATCACTAACATCCATCGACGTCTTGGACGATGGGCAGAATTCTTCGAAGGGCAGTTCAACTGGCCTGCTGCTCCGGCAACATCGGTCAGACTGTCCTGCCCTCCATGGCCGGTGACGACTGATCCACCAAATGAGGAGGAAGTCCGCAAGGAACTCCAACTCTTGAAGCGTTACAAATCACCTGGCCCAGATGACTTACCTCCGGCTCTTTTTAAAGATGGTGGTGACTTTTTGACTAAGGAATTGACGACGTTGTTTACAAAGGTTTGGGAACTAGAGAGTGTACCAACGTCATGGAATGAGTCGATAGTTGTCCCTATCTTTAAAAAGGGTTCACGTCGTTCTTGTAACAACTATCGGGGGATAAGTTTACTTCCGATTGCGTCCAAGCTATTGGCTTCCGTCATTCTTCGTAGGTTGTTCAAAACCCGAGAAAGATTGACTCGCGAGGAGCAGGCTGGGTTTCGTTCTGGTCGAGGATGTATTGATCATATCTTCACCCTCCGCCAAATGTTAGAACACCGCCATACTTATCAAAGGCCAACAATCGTAGTGTTTCTTGACATCAGGGCTGCCTTCGATTCGTTGGACAGAACTGTTCTCTGGGATTGTCTATTGAAGAAGGGTGTGCCTGAGAAGTTTATTAACATCCTAAAAACCCTGTATAAAAACACCTCAGGCAGAGTGAGGGCATACAACCACCTCTCTCCATTGTTCCATTCGAGCAGTGGGGTTAGGCAGGGTTGCCCAATCTCACCATTCCTCTTCAACTTTGCCATCGATGACATTCTGGAAACAGCTCTGATGAATGTAAGTAATGGTGGTGTGGATCTGTTGCCTGGACAAAGACTTCTCGACCTTGAGTATGCGGACGATATTGTCTTACTGTGCGATAATGCCCAAGGCATGCAATCCGCACTTAATCAGTTGGCAATCAATGTCCGTAGGTATGGTATGTGCTTTGCACCTTCGAAGTGCAAAGTACTTCTACAAGACTGGCAGGATTCTGATCCTGTACTCACCCTGGATGGTGAGCAGATAGACGTAGTTGAGAAGTTCGTGTATCTGGGTAGCTGCATAAGTGCTGGTGGTGGCGTGAGTGATGAGATCAATGCACGAATAGTGAAAGCCAGAGCGGCTTATGCCAATCTGGGCCATCTTTGGCGCCTTCGTGATGTTAGTCTGGCTGTAAAAGGCCGGATCTACAACGCGTCGGTGAGAGCAGTTTTGCTCTATGCTTGTGAAACCTGGCCTCTCCGAGTTGAGAACGTTAGACGACTCTCTGTGTTCGATCATCGCTGTCTCCGAAGGATTGCTGACATTCAGTGGCAACACCATGTCAGTAATGCAGAGGTTCGGCATCGTGTGTTCGGGCACAGAGATGATAACTCAATTGGTGTCACCATCTTGAAACACCGACTTCGGTGGCTTGGACATGTTCTCCGAATGTCGTCCCAGAGAATTCCACGTCGTGCATTATTTGCCGACTCTGGGACTGGTTGGAAGAAGCGGAGAGGTGGTCAGTGCATGACATGGTGTCGTGGCATGAAAGAAAGCGGCAAAGGACTGGCTTGTGTTGGTCCTTCACGACTCCCTGGCTGGGGTCCGAGAGATGGTGCAACACCGTGGCTAGAGACGTTATCAGATATGGCTCAGAATAGAAGCCAGTGGCGATCCTGCTGTAACCTTCTTTTACTTTCTTCATAAAAAAGTGGTTGTATCTTCCTTAACCGAAAGATTTCTTCTGATTGTACCCTTCTGTTCCCCTACTATTGCTATTATTATTATTACACTACCCTACACCAATCTCTTCGTTATTGTTTTTTATTATTTTTTTTTACGTTCCTCACTTTTTTTTTCTTCTTAGATTCTCATTGTTTTGTGTGGCGCATATATATTCGGCGCACTCCTGTACCAATATATATGTGTTCAAATAAATAAATAAAACATTATACCAGCTGAAGCACCAAAGTTGCACACAGAAGTAACTGCAAATATGCTCCACATTTTATTCAGGAAGATTTGTGGGGAAGAACAAGTGCCACTGACAGAGTGGAAAGAAGGATGTTTGGGATAATCAACATCATACGATGAACTACAGTGCAAAGTCGTGCATGGAGGACAGCTGACAGACTCATTCCAAGTGAGAGTGAGAGTTAGATAAGGTTCCTCACTCTCTCCCTACCTCTTTGTTCTGGTGGTCGGCTGGATTATGAAGATCTTCACATCTGAGTGCAAGCACGGATTACAATAGACAGGTTGAATGCAACCAAACGATTTGAACTTCACAGTTAACCTAACCCTTTTATTTCATACACATCAACAAATGCAGGTCAAGGTAAACAATGTAGCAGCAGTATGCCTCAAAATACATAAGGGAAAAAGCAAGAACCTCAAACACAACACAGAGAACACTTGATGGGAAAATTCTGAGAGGTGGAAACGTTCATGTATCTGGGCAGCATCATCGATGAACAAGGAGTATCTGATGCAAATGTAAAGGCGAGGATTGACAAAGCAAGAACAGCATTCCTACAGTTGAAGAACATATGGAAACTAAAACAACTGCCAATCAGTATCAAAGACAAATAGGCATACGACAAGTATCTGTCAAATTAGTTTAATTGAGATAGTAATTGGACGTACTATTTGGAGATAAATTTGATAAGCTGGTTCATTATTCTACATCTTTCTTTCCAAATAGACACTCAAACCTCTAAATACAAAAATATTAGGACAACAATCCTTATTTTCACAATCAAGACTGATATACCTTAACAGAGCATTTTATCACTAATGAACTGCAAATACTTACTAAATAGATAAATTTCTTATTAATGACAGTTTTCACTTTCGCATTTACCTTTATTTGATTAGATTCTACGGTAGTCCCACTTGTAAACTTTGGCATTACCTCGATATTATTTCGATACTACGAGATCGCCAACAAATACATCTTACTACAACCTTCAACTGTCTTCTGATATTTGGTCTACATAGGGATTTAACCTGGTAACTGGAACGTAGTCTTCCTGTAGTGGTGATCATTGTCAACCGCAACTCGACGCCTACTACAATTGTCTATATTCTTTTTAATGTGATCTTAATTGTCGCAAGATAATGATAATGTGATACGCTTAAGAGTTACATCTGTTTAAAATCTCTGATATTAATTACTTCTTTTACAAAGGACAATTGTACACATTTCTAATGTAATCAATTACATTCGACTATGACCATTGTATTGTAAATAACCAAAAATTTTGTCCGAAATCTAAACGTATAAACATCAATTCTGATAAACCTATGCTGTTTGATGGATTGAAATGACTCTTGAAAGTTGTATTAAATCTTTATCCAGTCAAATAACTGTATGCCTAATATCATTGACAGGGTTATAATAAAATGGATAAATAGATAATTACTAAAATGAGATTGATTTGACAAACATGAAAATTTTTATTTTGTCGTTTATTTTTCTATGTCAATCATTCTGTGATCAAATCAAATATGTTTAGATCATCCATGTGTTCTTTCCATTTCATTAATTTAAACAAATAAAAATCAATTATTGTCCTATGATAATTATCGAGCTACATAGCCTTAATGTTTATGTAGACACAAATAACCATGATTTGAACAGCTGATTTAAGAAAAAAAGGCCCTAACAAGTGAATTAATAAACTATTAAAATGATCATTGTCCTGACAATAAAAGCGATTAATTCATCGACTAAACACTTTTTTTAACATCCAAGGTGGCAGTGGTAAAATATCGTACAATAAAACACAAATCTGTCAAATAACTGAAATTTTAGATTGATTAGAGAAAAGATCAATATTATTGTTGCGTTTTTTGTACACATTTCATTTGTTTATCTATCTTTCATTACATTTAAAACGAAGGGAATACAATAATTTCAAATCAAAGCGATAAAAATAGTGAAAATTATGGTGGTAATAAAAAAGAACCATAATCGAAGAAAGTACATGGAAAATTATGAAATAAAAAAGGGGGAAGTTTAAAACAAATAAATGTATGTTGTTTCACATTTTACACTTCCATAATTCGTCATAACATAACAAAACAAGGAATTACAAGATTATGGGAGGATAGAGGGAAAACCAATTATATACAGATAGGGCGAGGCGAAGAAGCTGGTAGAAAGTAACAAAGCAATATAAGTGTGAGTGTGCATTCACAGATAATAAGAGACATTGTGCAGCAGACAAGGATGACAGAAAAACAGTAGAATAAATTCATCGATAACTTTCTTCTGATTAAGAAAGACAGCTATCATAAACAGGAAAGTACAAAAAAATCATTATTACTGGTGTTCTAATTATTATTAATATTGTTATCATTATCAAAGTAGTGGTAAATGCTTTGTGTTTTGAAACATATGGAAGAGAAAAGTAGCAATGATAAGAAAAAAACATGACGCTGAAAATCAGAAATGCTATACACAAAACAAAAAGGCAAGTCAAAAATTGCTAACTACAAAACTATTAAAATCTTTTAGAAAAAATGAAACACGCATACACAATGCACATTCGATGTGATTATACACACTATTTACACACCATGATTGGATAGTGGAATTAAGTAGTTTCATATATATATACTTAGACAACATTGAATGGATTGTTGATTAGTTTCCTAAATTAACGATCAAGGCACACGAATGTACAAAATAAACAGAAGCGAAAAATGACTATACTTATAATAAGGCGCTACACACGTACAGACAATATGGTAACCAAAAGACTAACTACCTAACGATTAAGCAGTAATTATAATGATATAGTGTTGATGGAAAAAAACATACTTAGCTAAAAATAAGAGATGTATGAGTTGCATTTCTTATGGTTATTATACAAATCTCTCTCTTTCCACATAGGCATATAACCAATAGATATTACGATAAATTAGTGACAAAAGAAAGTTATAATTATTCAAAAATTCATTGTTTAAATCGCTGTTAATACACAGTGTACACTGGGTTGTATGTATAGATTTCTGACAAGATAAACGTGGGTTTGGTAAAAAGATGTTCACAAAATAAGTGGATTAAAAAATAATACAAATTTTCCAAAAATAAAATAGTAATCCAGTATAATCATCCAGATAGCTCTCTTGTCACAAAAGATATGGGGAAGAATCCAATCTAGACGAAAAAGGAATGGAGAAATAACAAGAACAATACGAATTACACTAAATTATTTGAATTTTTACATTATATACATCAATGACAATTATCACTACAAAAATGATAAACATTTAGAAAAGTAGTGAACAGTTGTTATTAATTCATTCAAAATAACACTCCACAAAAATTAGTTAAGGATAGAATAAGTTGACAAGTTTTTGTTATAAAGGAATATAGATCATATAATATTCGGTAACATAATACTTATCTCACTGAGAAGATTGAACTAGAATGAATTTATTAAGATTGAATTGTGTAATCAATGCTAGACAGTTATCAGATGGAATTGATGAAGTGAGTTGAATAGTTTATACAGTTATTTTTTGCATAACAAATTATGTTCTACTTTATAAATTGATAATAAAAACTTACTGATATTAAGAGAGGTTAAATGAAATTAAACAGTCACTGAATAGATTTATTCTAACAATGTAGTTTGATTTTTCAAAAATATTAATAAACCATTACGAGCCATAGCTACCACTCCTAATCATTTCTTATAAAAAACCTTTAACAGGATTATGAAGATATAGAAATTAAAGGTGAATTACTTTACTGGAAAAGAACTATTTGACGAAATATCTTTGGTTCCCCAGTTCTTCCGGTAACCCCCAGGCTAAGTCTACACAGCAACATGAACACAAGAGAGAAGGCGTGAAATATGGAATAAATGCTTTACTCCAAGGTTCGTCTATGTACAGAAAATCTAGGGTATTTATACCATTTAGATGGCCTTGGATTTCCAGAAATTTCTGGAACGTTAATAAACATAATAGTAGTATAGGTAATCATCCAATCAGAAATGCGACGTGTGAATTCACTTTCTAGATGTTTGTCGTAAAGCTTCTATTGAATGCTACCTGGATAAGATGTTTTTCAGAGTTTTTAAAGCTTATTGAGCTTGTTTTCGAGGAATTTTCTGGATCACCCTAACAGTGATCATTACTGTAAGACTATGAACCATTCTATATATTACATTAAGTTGTATGAAAATTAATACAATGTAAGTTTTGAGACGAATGCAAAACAGGCATGAAAGAGAGAGAATTTATTTACTCGTAGAAAAAAGCGATTATATACAAAAGAAAATTACTGGTAATTTCATAGTAGGGAAGCGTGACTACTTGAAAATAAATAAGTAGAAGACTAATTAGTGAAAATATTTGAAGTGTTAGTGTAAGTCAAAACAATTTAATATGATCACGCAACAGAACAAAACGTGAACAACACTGAATCATTGATAGTCATAAAAACTTCTCGTTAAAACTTTAATTTTATTAGGAATTAGTAAAATGATGAATACTTTGACATGTAAACGATTCTTTAGAAAATCCAAAGGAAAATTAACTAGAAACGTTTTTAAATGACGTGAAAAATAACCGATATTTCTAAATATTTAATGGTTAAACCTAATATTGAAAATAGACTGGGTCGTTAATTCGGTTGAGTGTGAAAATATAACACAAGGGTTTCACAATGTTAACATGTGAAAAGAGAAGTATAAACTTACACGACCATTTAACCATCCCTTCCACCAGCCTCTGTCTTCAGCTGCACGACTAACTACAGCAATTCGATCACCTCCTTTCAAATTCAAGAAACGACTATTAGACGTATCATGAAAATCGAAATTTGCACGAACATAGAACAATGGTGATGCTATATAAAATGAAAGAAATAGTTTATTAATGAAAAAGTACGTTAACTTTGATAATATATTCACGTACATTTAATTAATATGTCCCACTAACTATATAAAACGAAATACAATCTATACATGCCATGAAATCAGCTACAATCATAGTGAAAATGAAGAAATAAACAAACGGATAAATTAATGATAGAAACTATTAAATAAAACAAATAAATTCGAAATTCTAAGATACATTAGTTTATTTATTTGATATTGAATATGATATAAAACGGTTTGTAACATAAAAAATAGAAATGGTATTCACATTTTCACATCATACAACATATATATCTCATTCAATTTAGTTTGACTAAGTAATGTTTAGAAATTAATTCAAGTTGTACTTCGAAACTACACTAACAACCATATCATATAGTGGTAATTTTTTACCAATGATAAAATCTAGTAATTTTGAGCAATGAAGTTTCCATTTGAATCCTCCTTACTTTAGACGTGACAAAAGTAGCACAAATCTAATTGTCAAAGAAACCAATTTTCAATGTTTATTTTATCAATCACCCAACAACTCAAATACATTGATGAATAGACACAGAATGAAAAGAAAGAAGTATTTTACAAACTATTAAATGAAACATTTAACTTGTACCTTTTATGCAAAATATACCTATATTCTGTGCGAACGGTGTTTGATGGTCAAAAATATAACTAACAAGTCAATCTTAGCTTAAATTTTGGTGATCTCATGAAATATAATACTACTTACTTACTTACAGCTGTTACTCCTCGTGAAGGAGCATAGGTCGCTCACCAGCATTCTCCATCCAACCCTGTCCTGGGCAATCCTTTCCAGCTCCTTCCAGTTGTAATTCATCCTTTTCATATCTGCTTCTATTATCCGACGTAATGTGTTCTTTGGCCTTCCTCTTTTCCGCTTCCCTTCAGGATTCCAAGTTAGAGCTTGCCTCGTGATGCAGTTTGACGATTTGCGTAATGTATGTCCTATCCATTTCTATCGTCTTTTCATAATTTCTTCTTCAGCTGGAAGTTGGTTTGTTCTCTCCCACAGAAGGCTATTGCTGATGGTATCCGGCCAATGAATGTTGAGTATCTTGCGTAGACAGCTATTTATAAATACTTGTACTTTCTTGATTGTGGTTGTTGTAGTTCTCCAAGTTTCAGCTCCATACAGTAGAATTGCCTTGACGTTCGTATTGAAGATTCTCACTTTGATGTTGGTTGAAAGTTCTTTTGAGTTCCATATGTTCTTCAATTGTAGGAATGCGGCCCTTGCTTTGCCAATCCTCGCCTTTACGTCTGCATCTGAACCTCCTTGTCTATCGACGATGCTTCCCAGATATGTGAAGGACTCTACATCTTCCAGAGTTTCGCCATCAAGAGTGATTGGATTGCTGTTTTCCGCTTTGAATTTGAGGACCTTGGTTTTCCCTTTGTGTATGCTGAGGCCTACTGATGCAGAGACTGCTGCTACACTGGCTGTTTTCATCTGCATCTGTTCGTGTGTACGTGATAGGAGGGCTAGGTCATCTGCGAAGTCTAAATTGTCTAATTGATTATGAGCTGTCCATTGTATTACGTGTTTCCCTTCAGATGTCGAGGTCTTCATAATCCAGTCGACCACCAGAAGAAAGAGGAAGGGAGAGAGTAAACAGCCTTGTCTGACTCCGGTCCTTACTTGGAATGCATCCGTCAGCTGTCCTCCATGCACTACTTTGCACTGTAGTCCGTCGTATGAGTTCCGGATAATATTGACAATCGTCTCAGGAACTCCGTAGTGTCGAAGAAGTTTCCATAATGTCCTCCTATCTACACTGTCGAATGCCTTTTCATAATCAATGAAATTGATGTATAGTGATGAGTTCCACTCAACTGATTGTTCGACGATGATCCGTAGTGTTGCAATTTGGTCTGTGCACGACCGATCCTTTCGGAATCCAGCTTGTTGATCTCGAAGTTGGGCATCTACTGCATCCTTCATTCGGTTCAGCAACACTCTGGTGGAGACTTTCCCTGGTATTGACAGTAGTCTAATGCCTCTGTAGTTTTCACATTTGCTCAGATCTCCTTTCTTTGGAATCTTGACGAGGTGTCCTTCTTTCCAGTCCGTCGGCACTTGTTCCTCCTCCCAAATCTTTTTCAATAGAAGATAAAGCATCCTTGTGGTTGCTTCGATGTCTGATTTCAGTGCTTCAGCTGGTATGTTGTCGGGTCCTGCTGCTTTCCCGTTCTTGATTTGTCTGACGGCCATTCTAATTTCTTCCGTCATTGGTGGGTTGACATCTATAGGAAGATCTATGTGTGCTGCCTCGATGTCCGGTGGATTCATTGGAGCCGGCCTATTCAGGAGTTCCTCGAAGTATTCTACCCATCTGTTACGCTGTTGTTGAATTTCGGTAATTGGCCTTCCTTCTTTGTCCTTGACCGATCTCTCTGGATTACTGTATCTCTGCTAGTTTATTCGTTGTATCAGAAAGCTGTTTCATAGTTCCTTCTCTTGCAGCTTTTTCCGCCTTCGTTGCTAGTTCTTCCACGTATTTCTGCTTGTCGGCTCCAATGCTCCTCTTCACTTGCTTGTTTGCTTCTATGTATTCAGCTTGTGCTTGGACTTTCTCTGCTCGTGTTCGGCTGTTGTTTATTGCTGTCTTCTTGTCCTTCCTTTCTTTGATCTTGTCCAGTGTTTCTATAGAGATCCATTCCTTATGATGGTGTTTCTTTAGGCCCAGAACCTCTTGACACGTTGAAGTTAATGCTTCTTTGATGCCTTTCCAGTTGTCCTCCATGGTAGTTTCTTCTTCCTTCAGTAGATCTTGAAAGGCTTGGAACCTGTTGTTGAGAGCTATCTTGAATTCATTGAGTTTGTCAGTATCTCGAAGGAAGGCTGTATTGAACCTTGGTAGTGCTGTTTGTCCACTTGTCCAGTTCTTTTTTTGCTTCAGTTTTAAATTGGCTACAACTAGGTGGTAATCTGAAGCTACGTCAGCACCTATCCTGGTTCTCACATCTTCCATTGTCCTTCGGAAGTTTTTGTTGATACAAATATGATCTATCTGGTTCTCTGTAGTGTGGTCCGGTGAGATCCATGTAGCCTTGTGTATACGCTTGTGTGGAAATATTGTGCCTCCTATGACCGATTTGTTGAATGCACATAGATTTGCAAATCTTTCTCCATTTTCGTTTCTTTCTCCCAGTCCATGTCGTCCCATAATATCTTCATATCCAGTGTTGTCTATTCCGACCTTGGCATTTAGATCTCCCATCAGAATGGTGAGGTCCTTTCTTGAACATTTCTCTATGATTGACTGCAGCCACTCATAGAATTGATCTTTAATGTCGTCGTTGCTATCATTGGTGGGTGCATAACATTGGATAATATTCATTAAGATCACTTCCTTCTTTGTTTTGAATGATGCTTTGACGATTATGGATCCGTGAGATTCCCATCCTACAAGTGCATTTCGTGCTACTTTGGACAGTATAAGAGCGACTCCCTGAGTGTGGGGAGCATTGTCCTCTTCGTGACTGGAGTATAGCAGCATCTCTCCCGTGGCTAGCCTTTTCTGTCCAGCTTGAGTCCAGTGGGTTTCGCTGATTCACAGTACTGCCAAGTTGTATCTCCTCATTTCCATTGCTATTTGACTGGTCTTCCCGGTTTCCCACATTGTTCGAACGTTCCATGTACCTATAAAAATTTTTGCTCTGGTTGTTAGAATGGGCATCGGCCTCGTGGCTTCCGAAGGAGCTTGGCTTTCACCATGAAGCGTCATAATTCTTCTAAATGAAGACCTTCTAACTCTCAGGGCAGAGTTAAAATGGTTTGGATTATTTTTTCTGGTAAGCGTTTTTTTAGCGAGTTAGTTTTCTACGGGATGGGGACGCTAACCCCATGCCCAACCCTCCTCCTTTACCCGGGCTTGGGACCGGCAGTAACTCTAGAAGAGCTACAGGCAAGAATTTCTCTCTCAAAAAACTTGATGAAGTCTGAATGTCATAGCACTCCAATGACCTTTGTTTGAATAAACATACTAATAAGATTATTTTTACCTATAAGATAACAAACCTGAGATAAATTGCCATTTAATTAAAGATCATAAAAATCAGAATACAATGAGACCAAACCTTCACGCAATTGATGGACATTGGTCAAAACTTACCTGATAAAAAAGAGGATTCAGGATACATTATTATAATGTATTATGAATGATCAAAGAAACTTTATTCAACCTGACGTGTTCCAAGGAATATGTGTGTTAGCTTAGTCATCTTGAAGTATTTAATACAATTTCTAAGCATCACCGAATAATTGGAATATTTAGCAATTCATTCGATTATAAGTAACTTAGAACCTTGCACATATGTGTATCCATTCAATTTGATAAACCATAACAACACAGTGGGATGAAATTATCAAGACAGATGTCAGAATAGTAGAAGTATGAAGAATGAATTCGTTGAATAAAAAGCATATGTATAAAACTCAAGATCTAAAGGAAAACATAGTGAATGCATATGTGGTATTGTGACTGACTTTAACCTACTTCGCCCAATCTCCAACTATTCATTACAATAATCTTGATGACCTCAAATGCACCTACCGACCTCCTTTAATGAAACAGTCAGTGATTCTATTGTTCGACGTGACATCTTGATTTGTCCACCCCTAGTTTTCCCCCACTTTATTTTACACAAGCAAACATTACTTACTGAAGTAGACTATGGTTCAGTAAAGAATATCAAATACAGGTATATATATACGAAACCGAAAGGTACGTAGTAGAAAAGTATGGGTAATAATAGTTAACTTACAAGGACACTTCTGGTAGGGATAAAGTAATGTGATGTCAACTTCATCGAAGCACCGATTTAACGACACTTTGGAGTAGTTTTCAATTACGCACTAAAGAAATAGACACGTGGGGAGAAAAGTATTCAATGTATGTGTATTTTTAGGAGTTTATACTTTACAACATCAAGTTTCAAAAAATTATAAAGAAAATACTTCATGATTGTATGATATCAAATCCTTTTTGTTGATAAAAAATGCATATTTTGAGAATTTCCAGAATCACAAAAAAGTTGTTATTCCCGCATAATGAACCTTACTTAGAAATAAAAACTGTTACTAATACATCTACATTCATCAAATATTTTGGCGTATACGCGACCCACTAAAATGTTTCAGAACACAAATATAGATTGGTTATTGATTGAAAATTTTATTAACTGCTTTGGTTAATGTTTATCAGATGTCTTTTACTGAATATTGAAAAGGATATTACGTACTTGCTAAATTTCATTGACTATTCACACTAAAACTAACTCTTAATGACTACTCTTCAACTAAATATCTGTTTTTATTGTCCGAGAACATTTACGTGAAATCTTTGAGATATAGATTGATAACTGAAAAAGTGATTAAGCTGCTTCGGTCGTATAAGATTTATACATCTCTTGTTTTCAAGGACCAATATATATCTCACGCATAGTATGAAAATTAAACGACTAGTAGATTAATGAACTACTTTTCTCTATAACCTTGAAGGAACGTTTAGTGATGCCTGTTTCGACGTACAGAACTGTAACTAGAGAAAAAGTTGGCAATAGGTACTTCGTGTTCAACTTTTTGTCTATTCAGTAATTAGCTATTAACTATAGTCTGAAAATATTTCAGCAAGTTGTTTTTATTTCGATAATATATTTCATGGATTTGAGAGTTAACATGAGCTTAACTACGAAAATGATATGTAGTCCGATGATGAAGGTAATGGCTAGTGAAATCTAAGTGAAAGTGTGCTATGAGTAAAGTCATCCACCGAACTTTCAATAATTAACTCGTCTTGCTCAATTTTATCGTCGCTCATAGGTCATATGGTCGAACCACCTCTAATAACCTGCATAATACTAGTTGAAAGAAAGTATGAGCATTCATATGTTTCGATAGCCTCAGGAACCGACAAAGTCAGTCAGTCATACACAACCAACAAACGTCACTACAGGAAATTATCTTTCAAGAAATTTTAAACAACAATCATTTGGAAAACAGTGAAATTAAAGAACAATGAAGAAAAACCTTAACCTTCACTCGAAAATCTCAACCAAGTTCCAGTAAGAATAATAATATTAATAATAAACACTAGCTTATTAGTTAACAAAGAAAACATACCGGTATATTTGGGAATTGTTCTAATTCACAAAGACCATATGTAATACAGGAATTATCAGATGATGAAAAACGCTGTATACGAATATGCCGTGGATGGCCGTATACAACAGATAGTGAATATTCTCCCATTCTTTCAGCACTTTTAGACAGACGTACAAGAAATGTACCGTCAATACAATTACTTAATAAATTAACAGCTTCAAGTCTGTCCATTTCACCAACATACCTATTATTTGCATCAACAAAAATAGATATGTAAGTTAGAGAAATAAAAATAAATGAATTAAGCAGAAGCGAGTAAAACGAATAGAAAAACAGTTGGTTGAATGAAAACAGTAAAATGCCAACATACAAAACGATTAGTTATAACAGTATGTATATATAGAACTTGAATTAAGCATGCTTCCCTCGTGCTACTGTAAAAGTACACAAATATCGAAGAAAAAAAAGCAAAGGAAAAGGTTATCTGGAATTTAAGAAATTATTGAGAGAAACAATTATATACATACCCATACCAATGAAATCTTAACAAGTATGACATCATTTGAATGTTCTGATGAATAAAGGATTCTTTTTTAGTTAAATAAAATTATTTTGCATTCTATATAATACAAATCAACTATTTATAATAATCAGCATGAATAGTGTAAGTTCTGTTCAGAAAAACATGTTATAAAAATGTTAACCGATGTTGATAATTATCAAGTACATCAGTCGATAAAATTATTCTAAAGTAAACTTATTATTGTTGATGTTGACTATATAATGGCTTTGTAATAAGATACCAATAATGTTTAAAAAAACAATTCCAAGCCATTCACATTCATCATCCTGTGATGAAGCATATAATAAACTGCTGGATAATCAATAACCACCTGAAACAATGAATATATACCTTCAGATATAAATTAAAATGCAAGGAGTAAGAATTTGCATCATTTTATATGATGTGATTATACACTGCAAATTGTTCCATCTTGTCGATAACTGATGAAAGCTATAACGAAATAACTATGAGATTCCCAGGTAATATAGTCATAAATTAAAAAATTATTTGTGATACAACGATATTACGATTGAATAACAGTTTGGTATTATTTGAACTTGAATGATCATTCAACTGACATAGTTATGCAGATGGAACTTGTCTGCTAAATACAGGTTTATGTACTCGGGACTTTGAGTCACAGTATTTATGAGAGAGCTAGTAATCCTACCCAACCTTCGAAAGTGAAATAGGTAGAGTATGGTTCCAGTATATGACCTACTGCTGGCTAAAAGCTAAATTTCTCAGAAACTAAACCACCATTGAAGCCTATATATTTAACACTAGCTAAGATTACTTATATTTCAAAGTGTAACAATAGTTAATACCATTAATTAACTCAGAAATCAAAACAAATACCATGTGTATACATGACAAAGAATTTTTGTCACATCTACGGAGAATATACTAACAAGACACAATATATCTACAAAGACAAAAATAAAATTTATTCAGGCAAATGATGAATGCACATTTAAAGATTGATTGATTACACAACTGTTCAATTCAATTATCTATCATAAACAAAAAGCACAGGTTTATTTTGGAAATAAAATTTTTGATGTTGTAAACACATATAATTCTAGTATCAGAAGGGGTTTCGTGAAGATTGTAATTTCAATAGTTAAGATCATGAGTCAATTGAAGCTACTGTCTACTGAAATCTTACAACTCCATTTGTATCCATTGTAATGTTAAATTGATTTACAGCAAGAACTAAACAAGTCATTATATAATATTATTCATCAATTACACACTGAATAATTATACAAAGCTATTCATGTTCAGATATGAAATTCATCAACAAATAATAAATAAATAGTGTTTACTTGATGTTTCTACTTAGTTAAGTATATCAGGAAAGGTAAATATCATACTTCAAAACCAAATCGAATTATTTAATAGATTTGTGGTTTCATAAAACTTAAACTACAATTTTAAACGAGGAATTTCTTGTTGACCTAGTATATTTTGTTGTATTATCCAATGACTACATTCGGCTCACATATTTATCGACAGTAATTACATTAGCATTCACAGAATAAATTTGTTAATCTGAATATATAGTTCTCGATGATATCATCGTCTTAATGTCTCGAAATAAGATCGATTTTAGCCGACTAAATACTACTTAAAATGAAAAAGAATAGTAAACTGTATATCTTTGTTTTCTCATTCATTACTAACAGCATTCTTTATGTCAGAATTAAGTATATTTTCTTAGTGTTTTACAGTTAAGCAAATTCAAGATTAATGTTTATTTAATAACAACTGATGATTTGATCAGCATACCAATCATTACAGGTGACAAGTACCGTTTAAGTTACATTCTGTAATAAACTTGAATCTTCATAGTCCCATTAATCAACTTATAAGTTCTTCAAGACATTTGTCGTCCAGTTTCAAATTTATATAAGAAATTAACTTGATCTCCTGAATTTAATATATAGTAATTTAAAATTAATGATATTTTTTATAGCCGTTTATCACAGAACACTACTGTATTTACACTAGTATTCATTTGTTTATTCAATAAATTCTGTTGCTATAGCCAAACAACAAAATGCATACAAGGAATGTACACCACATCTTTTTATTTTAATATAAAAGACACATAAAACATAGTAATAATAATGTTAGGTGGTTGGAAATAGACTGCGGAAAACACTATCTGAACACGGTTTCGTGCTAGTTAGCATTCCTCAGCACGGAGTATCTGTAATATTGAGAGAATTAATGCTTTGCACTAGATTAGAATCCATGTCACCCACATTCAGTCTCGGACATTCGAATCTAACATAGAGTGTCAGATCCATTGAAATTGCGGGTAAACCTTACTAAAGAGTGTCAACTCGCATGAATCCAAAGTCAAGCAGAGTTTTCTGCCTACTACCTTCAGCCACCTAAAATTGAAAAATAGTGAAGGTGATGTTAAATCATTTATACTAGAAGCCCCATTTCTACTTAATCGATGGAATTCAATAATCTTTGAGGTCTAGACAAAAATGACGTTATTCAATTATCAATCAACCGATTAATTAGTTACATAAACAGCAATAATAATGCCAGTAAGTTATCGATATTTTGGCATAGGTTGGCTTTTCAAACCTTTAAAAATAGTAGAAATAGTATGCATGGGCATAATATATTCTCTTAAACTGTGGACAAAAAAACAATATCAAACCAAATAGTGTAAAATAATTTGTGAATCATAAATAAAAACTACAAATTGTACATAGAGTAATATAAAGCAGTCAAATGACCATGCAAAATGACACATAGCAATCCAGCAATTAAGGTAAACAAACCCAAACATGCAAATTATATACACAAGATGGACACACAGCATAGAATTGTAAAGTAGCTATCTAAGCAAAGTGATAAAAAATCCTAGATTGAAACAAGTATTTACATGAATAAAATTTAGAAATAAAGAACAGACAAATACTGGACAGAATTTCGTTCAAAGGCTTTAATTTAGCTCCTAATATATCGACAAGTATTTTGATGTTTAAAATTTATTGTGGTTGACATTAGAAATAGGAAAATGCTATTAAAAAAATAATAACACTACACTGTATTTGCTACACACACTTAAATGAGATGGCATAACTTATTGGAACAATATTTCTTGTAATTGGAAAAAAATTGATTACTTTAGATATTTTTCTACAACGATAAATAAGAAATACACATTTGATATTATAAATGTACATTATACAAATAAATAAAGATGTACAGTTTACCAGGGAAAAGTCGACAGAAAGTAATGTGAATGGTCCATCATTAGATCTGTTGGAAATTTTTCAAATCTCGAGGTGACTGTTGCACTAACTGTTGCAGTTTGTGTAGTTGACAATACTGATGGAACTAAATCAATACACTGAGATAATTCGGGAATTTCCAAAGCTGATAAACTACGCTTTTTCAAACGTCGAAACATTAATGGAGGATATGAATTATTTATATTCATATTCACTGGGATAAGAGATGTTAATGATGAGCAAGGAGGACTAGGAATATTATTATAATTATTACCGACGATAGGCGATAGACTGTTATTTAAAGTTTTATTTGCTATTGTACATAAAGGTAAATTGGATGGAGACGTTTCATTTGGTGAAAAGAAAGGTTTCTGAACTGAAGAATTATTATTATTAAAAACTGGTGTTCGATCAGAACTAGACGATGAAGATACTTGATGAGAAAATCTTGTACTGCTTGGCTAATTAAAATAAAAATGAAAATGAATAAAGTAAATATCCCTAAATTTATTAAGACAATCAATAAAACTAGTATACACATAAACATGCTTAAAAAGGACAGAGCACATGCATTACATAGAAAATATAAAATATACACTAATGATCAACTCGTGCAAATCAAATTTCCAACTAAAAAGCAAACAAAAATATAAACAGACACAACCGAGCTAGAAAAACAAAAAGTGTCGAAACAGACCAGTCATAGCCAGTAAGAGGATCATGACTGTCTACGAGTGACGTGACAGTCTGTTTGGTTTGACGTAGGCAAGTATCCACCAAAATATTATTATTGTTGCTATTATTATTATTATTAGTAGTAGTAGTACAGTTATTGTTTAATTTATTGTGTTGATGAGGAAAGTGTTCCAGATCGAAGTTTAGACAAATTTCTTTGGAATTATTTGTTGAAATTGAACAATCTGGGGGTAAACTGTGCCGAGAAGGATGCCCTATCAAAGTCGACAGCGACGTAGCTGGATTGTTGGTAAATGTTGCATTCGAAGTACCAATCTGAATTTATTGATGAGAATGCAATCCAAAGAAAATAAATAAATAAGTAAAGGCTTCACAACCGATTGTTGTGGTCCATTATTACTTCATTTAATTACTTTTTATCAGGAAAAAAATAAAATGTATTCATTCAATTTTAATATACACATTCATTTGGGAAAAAAAGCATTTAGTTCAACCAAGAATTACTATCTAAATCAGATATGAACAAACGTTTTTAATATGAAGTACCATGTTCTGTCATAATAATTTCAAATTACCTTAGCTTTAATATAGATCTGAAGAATCATCTAATGTAGTCTTCCCAGCTTAGATCGGAATCATCAGAAATTTCGGTGAGACTATAATTTATGGACGACCTTTAAGTGCCACTAAAGTCTCTTTGAAAATGTCCACCTACTTACTAGTGTTAAATAAGGGTTATAAACCAGTGTGAGGAATTAGGATTATGAGTTACAGTTGATGATTAGGGTTAGAAATTAAATTTGTTGTTTTCATCACGAACTGACATCACCTATAATGCCAAAATGCTATTTAGCCAAATGGATGAAGGAATTTCGCGCCAAAATCCAAGACCTATTACCTTAAATTTGATTGATTTGTCCATAAATGTTAATCAAGTAATATTTGTCATCACTCCCCATTAAAATAGTCATAAATTAGAATCATCTAGATGAGTTGATATTAGCAGAAAAATAAGTCTTACATACACCCCGGAGGTATTAGAATGTCGAATGAATTAGAACAAGACAAGTAATAACCATATGATGAGCTATAAGTTGAAATCATTATCTTGTGTATCTAATTTACAACGATACTTGAATGCTTTATACCAAACAGTTCAGAGAAAGAAATTCCATCAAAATCATCTTCTTGAAATACAAATCTTCGGCACCACCTATTGTCTCAAAGACACTTAAATTTTACTACATGTTGAGGTTCAAATTGTCATTGGGACCTTAAAGAAAGAGCTTGTTGACCAATCGCAGAAAAAAATGGTAAAAGAGAGAGAACAACTTACTTTATTCATTTTATTATTCACCACCATTTCAACGAGATTAGCAGGGAACCAACCTTCAGACCCATCACAGTAACCCTGAACGTTGATGATTTGAAATTTAAAAAATTAAGAAAGGTAGTTGATAGAATCAAATTAATCATCAATAAGAATTAATGTGGATATAGTTGAATGGAAACTACTGTTTGGAGACAGTATAGAAGCATAACGAAGTTTATGGAATGTCTATATTTGAAAAAACACCCAGTTCTTATCTAAAATAGCATACAAGTAATTATTTAATTTTGTGGAAAAAAACCGATAACTAAGCAATCATTCTTGTAACAATGAAAAGTTTACTTACTTCTAAACCGCTCTTTTGGACAAAATCATGAATATTTACATTGCATCTAATCAAATAGACAATTATGAGTCAATGAAATTAACAAAAATAATAAACAATATAGAATGTACTGATGCAATGTCAGTAGTGGGTGTCTTCATCAGCTTTTCGAAATGGAGAACATCGTCTTTAAAATATCTTTTGGTATTCAAGTGAATCCATGATGGTTAACGTTAGAGATGAGCTAATAATTGGTACAGGTGGAACTTTTAGAAATATTTTACAGTGGGCTATGACGTATAGATCTACTGTGTATATATTGAATATTTACTTTATGGTAGTTTTTTATATTGTCTTGATTATAGGCTCTCATTTAAATCGTTAACTACTGAAATATGTCTTACTACCCATAAATTATCTCCAATCGATTATGCATCCGTTACTCAGATTGTATTATAAATGACCTAGTTATGTAAAAATTGTGATATCCTATCTGTAGTATGGTATAGTCTTTCAACAGATGTACATGATCATGAGTTCTTAAGCCAAGTACAGACAGCAACAAGGTTGAATGTTTTCGTGTTCTGACTAGTCAGTGAGGATAGGAATTGAGTGGACCAATATGCGTTAGGTTTTCAATGGTGTCATTGTCCAAGCTAATCTTTATAATCATATCGGCGTAAAGCAAAACACTATTCGTCGACTCGGTCACTTAGTGAACTGACTAGATGGATATCAAGAAGTTGAATCCATAACAGAACGTTTATTCATCTATAAGTCATAAGTTTGAATGTTGATCGACCTACTTTGTCGTTTCAGAGGATAAGTAATATTACTAGTCTCCATGTACAAAACATCCTGTAAAGTTAAGTCTATAAACTTGTACTTATCAGATGATTGCGGAGTTAGTTCAACGGCATCATCAAGTCAAATAAAGCTTTTGACGGGTAACATTCAGTAGTGAATTACTCAGTCCATACAATCAATCGGTTATTTCCCTTGAACAAAATCATTGTTTTCAACTAAAAATTTACAAAAGCATTGCTTGTGTCTACAAATAATGCAGTACAGAATGATTTAAGCTGTATATATTCAAAAATAAAGAATATGTTAATGTATACTGAATTTACGGAAACTATAAAGTTACACAGTAATGTATGACTGTTGGTCGACATACAGAATCTAATATTGCATAAATGTAGCTAAAAAGTCAAGTAAACAAATCTGGTCGTTAATATCTTATACTATTGATAATAAAGAAATCCACAAAATTTATGTTCAGTGGATATTAAACTACATGTTATAGACTTTACGTATTCGAAATTGACAAAAGTTCATTTTTAGTAGGTAGTTGTTCGTCGATAATAGTAGAAATAATATTGGGATTATTTTCTGTGACATATATACTATCGATGATTTACATGACTATAATTCAATATGCATCGGAAAACATATAATTACACAATGTTAACTTTTGAAGGAAGACCCGAAATTTTGAAACATGTCATAACAAGATCGGTTTTATCATAATCTTGGAAAACATATGATAGACAAATAGGTAACAAACTATTCCCACTAGTTTAGTATAATCTAAGGTCAGTATGAAGTACATGTGTGATTAGATTATGTATATTTTGAAGATTAGGTGACTTGTTAGTGTGCAAAGATTGATATTTAGCTAGAGAATTTTATAATATAGAGATTATTATATTTTCAAATAGTTTACAACTTTTAGTGGTAACTTTAAAGAGATTACAAGTCATAGTTAAATAACTATATATTGAACTGAATACATCATAATGACAAAACTCACCTGCCACCATGATGAGCTTTCAGTCCATTTGATCAATTCAACTTGATCTCCAATTGATAATCTCAAAGGATGACTACCTGATGGTGGGAGAGGATCACCATCATATGCTTTTCGTGCTATAGCAAAAGTTGGATTCACTGGAGGAATACTTGATGTAGGTAAACCAGAAGATATACGTCGATTACGTTGTAAAGTGACATTCGACAGATTGTTATGGTCAGTTGCAAGCCAGTGGTTCACAGAAGATAATGTATCAGTTAACTGTGAGAAGTCAAATGATTCTGAATTAGATAATGAGTTGTTTCCAGGTGTACATGGCACACTTCCCATCGTTACATGAGAACGTCGACTACGTACTGTATTGATCTGTGGAGGTAATGGCGGTGGGGCACTTGGAGGAACTCCATTAATATGTGGATTAGCCATACCACGCAGTGGAAGATTATGATTGGCAAGACAACTTTTATGTGCAGCTCGATTTGTTTCTGCATATAGAAAGTAAAATAAAGTACTCTGATATAAAAGAGTATAAAAGGGTATAAAGTACTCTTTTAGTATCAATTAATTAAAACATTACATAGGGCGTTAGTACGTATACCAAGATTGTAATATATGATACAGCGAATAAAAAAGAAAACTACTGCTAAATAGCTTTAAATAAGGGGAAGTTGATCAGAAGTCTACGAAAGTCACACATTTGATTACCACTTTCGGATAAAAAAAATCGACTTTAACCAATTTGCAATTAAATCAAGTAAATATAGAGAAGCGAAAGTGATTCTTTCTTTTCTTGGGTCATCAAAATAAGTTGATCTGGAAGAGGGGAATGCCAGTTGGCAAGACTGTTATTTGTGGACAAACCAATGAAATTACGTCATTGATCCAAATAATTCAACAGAATTTTGGCATTATAGCTTATATCAGTTCGTGATGAAAACCCTGGCTCTAATTTCTAACCCTAATTCTTCATATTATTTTGAACTCTCTTTCGACTCTAGTGAGTTTTCTTAAGGTCACTTTACGTCACTCAAAGGTCATCAATCAATTATAGTTTCAAAGGTCAGTTCTCTTATGCTTCATTCATATCTTATAGCACCTAATTACAAGTCATGAAAACTCATATGGTAGGATGGAATACGCAGTTTATTTATATGCGAACTTTTCAAACAGAAGGGTCGATGGAAATGCTGGTAACATTGTAGTGATACACTTTGTGCCACAATCTTGTAACAACAGACCAACACCAGTCTTAAGCTTTCCTTATAGTGAAAATAAATTCTTATATTATGATGGTACTACCATGGCACAACAGGGCTTCGGGGAATTAATATCGCAAGCAAACGAACTCGAATGTCAAATTGACTACTACTCTAAAGACTGAAAGATATGAACTTCGAAAATAAATCGAAGTCACACTTTAACTCGAACTGGAGACACATTATAAAACACCGTATGACTTTTTCGCATATATTATTATCCAAAGTACCTAGATATATCTAATACATTATGTATTTTTAAGTAGGCATCCGTTTCAAAAAGGTAAGAATAAGCAAATACAGAAAAAAACACGCTAATAATTTCACTCAGAACAATGTCAGGAAGGTTGTTATATATATGTATATAACAATCAGACTAGACAGAACAAGGTAAACACTATATGAATTAAACAAAACCGATATTAATTCTCACCGAATAGACATGAAAACAAAATAAAAGTATTTATTCTGATCATATATATAATCAGAACGGTGCTGGTATTCTGTAGTGTTAATAATAATTCTAAAGCATATCTGAAAAGAAATAATCTTTATTATTGTCTTTGTATGAAGCAATAATGCACACTCCAACCGATACATACAAAAAACACATTCAGAGTAAACTTCATTCTTTTAAGAAAAATGACAAAAAATTAACAGAAGAATGAAATTTAATGTTACAACACAATCAGAGGATTAACACGAAAGGTAGGTTAGAATAGAATGACCAACTGTTGAAGATGAAAAGAAGCAGTTTTTTTTACTTTTATAGTAATACACAAACAAAATATTATTATCACTTGTCATGTTCAATAAGCCAAAACAATGAAGAACTAATTTTTATATTTTGTCTTTTGGCATAAGGGCATTTTGAAGATAACATAACATTGTTATTAGCACACTTGCCGGGTATAGGTTTCATGCACTTAACTTTCAGTCGAGTTCTAAATGTGAGGACAAGTTATATCACTGGACTGTTCAGACCGACGTATGTGGAACGGAATTCAACCATATAACTTAGTGACTAAAAGTCGAGCGATTTAACCACTGGGTCACTGCTAACGCTTTGCGGTCTATCGAGAATAACAATCATAACATAGAACAGATGGTTATAAAGCATAGGCTTCGAAAAATGTAAATACAGACTTATTGTCTCATTCAGGAAACTTGGACTGTAACTGCTATAGTTTCTTTTTCGCAATCAACAGAAAGTTATTAACTAAAGTTAATATAACTAGTTGAAGGGTTTCCAAGTTGTATACAAAAACTTATATATTTATCTATTGAAACATAAACATTAGTAAAGATGGACATCAAAAGAAATATGTCTCACGTAAAAAGGAAATTATATTTTGAGGAGATAAATGAAGAATAATCAAACTATTTTTTATTAAAACATATACACATTGGAACAAGAAAGCACCAAATAGATATGAGCCACATAAATCATCCGATTCGTGTGAGGGATGGGATACTGCCTGGGTGCCCAAACCGAAACAGGTGGTTTTCGTAGAGGACCACACTCAGAGCTTTTGACCTAAAGGTCTGATCCACAAGGCAGTAGAGCAACGTCAGGAGATGCAGTTCCGTGGTAGCCTATAACTAGCAATTGGTTCGTATGCCATTTGTTTCTTCAGGATCCTGGGGCCCATGTGCACCAATGGTTTGGAATCAGGGTTTCTCAACCCCCCTAGGTAGACCCTTCATAAACCACCAACCCAGTTAAAGCTCCAAACATTCGCTTTTCGTCCTTCCAATTTGGTAAAAAAACATCCCCGCCACAAGAAGACAGTGAGTAGGACTTCCCTTGCAGTGGCTGCATACGCGTGGCCATGTGAGCATTTCGAAAACGAGAGCTGACTCTCCCCGCCCTCGGCCATACCAGGGCCGAGGACAGATTATAAAAGTAAAGATATATCAGTTTAAAAAGTACAGCCTGAAAGAATTCTTTTAGTTATAGAAGTTCCTCTTGTTTTTATAGTAAATCTAAAAAATACTACGGAATGACCATTGTTGACTTCTATTCTGAGCCATGAATGATGTCTTACGCTACCAGCTAACGCCATCTATAGGACTTCAACTAGAGGAGTTGTGATGAACCGACAGATCTCGGTTCTGTATAACACCCTTTGATGCCTTGGTGCCATATCATGAAATAACCATCCCTCAACTCTCTCCAACTAGCCCTAGAATCGCCAAATAAAGCACGATCTGGCAGTCTCTCTCTAAATGCCTTGATAAGGCCAAGGATAAAGAGTTCAAAGTCCATCTCAAAATCCTTTCATATAGCCATGGATTCATAGTCACTGTCAAAGAAGCCCTACGCACTGCTTTCTCACGGAGAGGACATTGTTTACAAAGGTTAGTGGACGAAAAGCCGACATTCTGCGCTTTAACTACATTGGATATAGGAGTTAGAAAACACTAACTCAAAACCAATTGTGTATATGTGCTCTAGGATCCTGAAGCATCGACTGACGTATAAGTCTATTTTTGGTCACCAGTTACCATTGAAATCCATCTCCTGACGTTGCTCCACTACCTTCTATATTCGACCTTTATGTCAAAGGCTCGAGAAGCGAGGTCCTAAGAAAACCATCTGCTTTAGTTTGGGCACCCAGCCCTCCCACAAATATGAATGAATAACTATGAAGAGAACTGATATCCTTTCTCCGCTTCATCACAAAAAAAATAAACATACATATACATCAGATAACACATAACTATAAACAGTAAAATAGATTAGGTACACAAAACTTAAAAGAGCAATTTCACTGGTGGAACATACACATACAGCCACAAGAATTTAAGGTTATGCTACAAAAAAAGGTAAACTGATTGTTATGAATTTTTGACCACAGAAAGAAATTTGATGCACTACTATTTGGATGCATACAAGGGAGTTGAATGAAACCTTGTCATTGTCATTATTGATTAATGAAGTAATCAAAATTTGATGCACCTATCAGTCTAATAAGGCACACATACATACACACGCAGAGAGAAACAGAAAGATAGCGGAACAGCAAGAATAACATTTATAAGAAAGATATTATTTTCATTAGTAATAACAGTCTTCAACACTTAATTGTGTCATAATCCAGAGGGTTAAAATTTTTGTACGTACTTTAGAGTCGGTGACTGCATGGTTTGATATGACTACTAGTACTACTATTACCAGTACTGATTCAGTAATCAGTCAACCTGAATGCAAAACAGTCAATCTACATATAGGCAGAAGTAGAAGTATTTATATATATATTTTTAAGCTAACATTATTCAAAACCATGAAGCCAAAGTAGACACATTGGAAAAATTGAAGAAAAAAGTTCTTGCTCAAATTTTCAAGTGGACCTCAAAGGAATCAAAATCGCGAAATAAAAACATACTTAGCACAGCAATCCTCCGTCGCATTCACATATGAAATAATTAATAAGCACATAAACTAAGAGATTTAGTGAAACTGTCATCAAAAGATTTAGACATTATCATATGCCAAAAAAATATTAATAAACTCTATGGTTTCAATTTCCTAAGTTCAATGATACAATATTTTATAGCAAACTGTAACTGTTTTAAAATCCGATAAAAATATTTTCGTCTATATGAACTATGAGCTCTCTTAGAGTTAATCTCCAAACTTCTGGAAAACTCCGTGCTTCAAAATCAACAATCATGATCAATGGTTGAAGATCTATACTAAATTAGATCAAAACTGATCATAGCGATGTAAATCATTTTTTTTTACTGATGACTAAATGTTGAGTTCCATTAAATGTTCCCATAACTTTTTTTTTAATTTTCTTATCACATTTTATTTATTCAGAACATAACCATTCTAATGAATTTTTATTACGGTAATTGATACTAATTAGTGTTCCAACTTCTTTGCTGTTCTCATCTTGCTGTAAGATGAAATGTGGCAATTTGAACTGATGAATATTTACGGCTTCTCCTATACTACAATAGTTGGTTGTAACTGATTGACTAAATGGTTGATAAACTGATTTTTGTAAATAATTGGTACAAGTATTGTGGATTGCAAACAATTAAAGAAAACTAACGAATAAAAAAATGAATAAATCCATTTTATTACTGTGTTACAAGTTTGCACTACATATATATTTGTTGATTGTTTAATGTTCTTTTTTTGTGAAACATTTTCCGTTAATAGTGTTAAGAATAAAAATATTACAAAGATTAATTTTGTAAACTAAAAACAGTTACTACTCGTAACCGATTCCTTACAGGATTCATCTACCAGTTCTATTGTAAACAAAACATATTTCAATAAAAGTTTAATTTTTAAGTGTAACAAAGCGAATACTTATTTGTCTATAATGACATGAACGTATAAACAAATTTAACACAATTTACTCGGATTTAATTTATTTTTTTAGTGAGTGATGGATTACAAATGAGGATTGGTCAGTAAAATTGTTAAACTTAGTTCAACAAAGAGAGGAAGTATGGTATGTGATAGTTATTCTCAGAACAGTGATTACAAATGACTTTTAAAATTGGAAGAATTCCTTTATAAATATTTATATAAAACTTCAGAACACTTCAGCTTTTTATGAAACGAACATTGACAAAGTTAGCTACACTAGTGTTGAGAAATTAGCGACCAAATATGAAAGCTCAAAGTATAACACAGATTACAAAACGAGCACACAATCTGATGAAATTAAATGTTTGAATAGAATTTTTACAAGAAGTTTACTAAACAGGTGTTAAGCTATGGAGAAATTTATTGGACTACAGTTGAAAACCTTCAAATTATAGGTGAAATATATTTTTAAGATGTACATACGCTTAACGCAATTTGCTACTAGTCATAAGCAACGTAAGGACCCGGGATCAATTTACGTCGGTACAAGTTGCCACAACATTTCAGCATCATGAGATGATACCATTAAGATAAATATCAGAATAGTGTCAGTGGTAGCGAAACGTATAACCCATAGACAATATGGTTTAATGAGAAATAATGAATGTGCAGGGTGAAATATATGAAACAATTTTGAAAATTAGGGAAAACAAAGAATGAGTGTGTCTGTGCTACCGCAACTGATTCCAAGTCATGCTACTCAATGTCTCTAGCCAATGATCACGGTTATCCCGAATCAAAATTAAGCAACCAAACCCTTAAAATCACAGAGTATGAAGATAATATTCTATCCCTAACTACTGCAACCCATTAAGACATAAGAGATCTGTAAGTACAACATTCAATGAGCTATAAGCCTTGACTTTTATTTAAGCCAAGAAATAGAGTTGTTTTAATTTTTGTTACACATTACTATTAGATTTATAAGAAATCAATAAACTATTAAACTGCACTTTGGAAAATAACAGTGAATATAATGAAAATTGAGCACTTGTAGTTAATGTTTAAACCTAAAATCACGCTGAATAGCTCACGTGAATGATAAGAAAGAATCTATCCTGACAAAACTTACCTCGACAACGATAACCTTGAAAGAACATTCCCGTGATTAATTTATTACAGATACAACAATAAGTAGGTTGTTTAAATGTGAACATTTCAAAGTTGTAACCTCGGTCTTTCGCTCCAGGTGGACAAAGATTAGACCTGTTGTCAATGAAATCAAAAATCAACATGAAGCAAATGGAGAATGAGCGATGGGAATAATGACAAATTATATTAACATAAAAAATTTAAATAATAGGGGTAGTATAAAACAGTGGTGAGTATAGAAATGAATCCTTACAGATAATGCTATCTTAAATAATCAAACTATCGAATTCATTGTGCGAAACGGAAAATCAACTTTGAATACTAAGAGTAATATAAGTGGTCTGACTGACTTCAGAATTGTTGCAACTCACTGAAGTTTGACAAAATATCAAAAGCTATAGACTATCATCAAGCAAAAACTAGTTCCTCTTTAGGAAATTCACAATTTATTTTAAATGATTATGAATAACTTTCAAGACTTATAATAAATTTAAAATATTACTAAGTTAATAGCAACCATGGTATCAGATTTGCTTATATAAGAATGGGCAGAAGTAAGTTATGTATAGCACATTAAAAAATCTTTTATTCTGAACAACTGGTTGATGATATTTGTTCACAACACATTTAAGATTTTTTGCCTGGAAAAAAATCCGGTATCATTCAATGGATTTCTATATAAATAAAATTATTATTTAAATATGTTATAACCCTGTTTTCTATCATATGTAAACTGAAAGCATTAAATTAACATCTACTTAAGAAATACCTATAACAGTATTCTAGCTTTATTAAGGACATAGCTAAAGCTTTGAATTAATTTTTTCGATTGTGAGGTAGTTACACACATAAGACAATGGAGGACGGTCACGCGATTCCGTGGACTTATTGAAGTTAGACATTAAAACCGTTGAATACCGACTCAGTAATATAGGGGTTAGGCGTTTACGCGCAAGACATAAGGTCCTGTGTTCGAATTCGCGCACGTAGAATCGTGGATGCCCAGTTCAGTGTTTCCATGTTTCAAATGGTGATCTAATATTGATTGATTTACGGTCTCAATCAAAACTTTTGTATTGTTTATTTGAACCTTGCCATTGACGTTTAGGACTGCAATTGAACATCAACTTTGGGATGCAGGTACATCTAGCTGACCAGTCCAAAATAGGACAAAACGCGCGTCCTGGATCCCACTGCTAGACACCATTTATCTTTGATGATAAAGCTAAGAATGTTTATCAAATAAATCCAAGATAAACAGAATTTTACCGTAATCGAATTACTCGGAAACGATTTATTTCAGGAGTATAAAGTTGATCAAGTTCAATTTAAAAAGTACAGAATACAACAGTACTCTTCTCATGAAATTTGTCACAGTTGCTAAATGTATAAACAACAAAAATAAACCAATTCAAAAACAAATACACAGATAAAATTGACACCAACAACTTACAATGCAGCCATTACAGCTTTCATCCAAGCTGTACGTAATTCTTCGGATTTTGTAAAGAAAGTAAGATTTGGCGAATCTCTATCACCCAAAATTGGTAAAGTAAATCCATAGGAATACTGTTTTAAATAAATGAATAAACAGTAAAATTTTGCTTACACCTACAATCTTGATGAGTGTAACTTAAAAAGATATAAAATCTTAAAAGCACAAACCAAAACTGGCCAGTTAAAGACTTAAAATAAATACATAGTCTGATGCTAAATGGGAATATAAATGTTGAGGCAGTGAAGAAAAAACACCTTAACGCTCGTTAGAGAGGGCGATTGCTTGATGACAAAACAGAGTACAAAAAAACTGAGTACAATAAGTTTATTGGTTGAAAATGTCGCATTTTTCCATAAAAACAAAGAAAAGATTATAGCAGCAAAGATCTTTTGATAATAAGAATGTGAAGAATGGAAAAGAAGAGAGAGAAAGAACTCTAAATCACCAACTTAAAACAACAGATTGGATGCAAAAACGGTTTGTACTATATGCTCGAAATTCTCAGGACAAAATCGTTTTAATTATTTCAAATATTATAATAATGAAGTTCATAATTTTCCAATTAGATTAGACTTGAAAATAGACAAATAATGGAACGGTAGTGTAAATATGATTTGATCAGTCCTGGTGGATACAGTTTCACTCCATCAGTACTGTAAACACAATACTACAATGATGTAGGCGCTGATGTATAAAAATACATAACAAGGAAAATAGATACTTATCATATATAAATCTGAATGTCATATATTTAACAGAATTCTCCGCTGTTGGGCCAAACTTCACATGTTGAAGCGACATTCACCTTGTGCAGGACTTCTGCGAAAGACACTGACGAAACAAGTTTGACTAGTAATGGTAAACGTCAGAGTTACTAGACCGTAGAAAAGTAATGTACATAACTATGTCTGTTTATATATATAGTTGTCATTAGACTATTTAGTTTATCACATGATAGCAAATATTGATATTTTTGTTCGTTATTTAACTTAGATGCACACAAATCACATTTATTTCATGCAATAAACATGTAATAACCTGAAATTCTTGCTATCAGTTTACGGTCATTTTAACATAATAGCACAATTGTACAAATCAGTCACTAATTTTATTTGTTGTGGGGGATGGATGAAATAACCATACAGTGGCAATTAATGTAGCTCAATTATCTAACTGATATGTTAATTTTGTAACAACGCTCCATAACATTGAAATTAGATTGTACTAAATAAAATCGGATTTGCCAAAGGATATAGTTCATTCCTACTGAAATTTTTCAGTGATAAACAGAACAATTTAATGTATTTACGAATACTTTGCTGGCTTTCTAAATTTACTAACAAAATCCAGTTAGTATTTTTATACATTAAAGTAATGTATTGTAAGATAATTTAAACTTGATGTCACTAAACTTATCAACTTTAGAAAATGTAATCGAGGAAACTAGTTTAACAATAAGAAGTATGGTAAGATGAAGTGATAATATTGTACCGTTTAATCTGCCTATTATAGGGTGGGGGGAGATATTTATTGTCAAAACAACCCAGTTAGAGTTAGTCTGGCCAAAATTATAATCACTAATTCTTAATAAACATAAAACCTTATGCTTCAGATAAGTAATCTATGAGAACTCTTCCGCTTAGATAATAGTAGAGATTTTCGTTTGATTAATGATATGATGGTATAAACCTAAACATATATTCAACAAAAAAGCTTTTAAATTGGTCAATTATAGTGAACCCAACATGCAAGTAGTTATTTTGTGACTAGTAATTTACATGTGAACAAAAAACAAGAACTTCAGTGTTTGGAATCTTTTTAGTGCGAAACTGTAACAAGACGAGGATAAGTATGAATCTGACGCTTTTTTCCACATAAATGTGGACACAAAACTATGGTATGAGGAATATTCCCATCATTCTAACGACATTTGTATGGTTTTGTATTTTCTCGTTGTTATTATTGTTAGGGATTGCACACTGACCTGATTTCCTCCGTATAACCTTGTAGTTATTATATTTGGATTGCGAATATCAAACACCAGGATGAGAGTACACTCTGCTAACTAGTCCCAAATAGAACGAAATGCGTTTCCCGGATTCTACTACTAGCCACTATCATCCACTATAATTAGCTTATACACAAATTTGATAGCAGAAACAAAAGCTTAGAGTATTAAGTCAAAACACATCGGAAAAAAATAGTTTCATCATAGAGACGAGAAACTCTTAAGATGGTACGATCAGCTAGCAGTAATGCAAAAATAAGTCGTTGTCAGTTGTGTCAATGTTCCATGATAATTTCAAGTCTTAATTCTACAATAAGTCCTGAACATCCAAATAAGTGTTACTATTCACATACATTAATATTGTGACTAGTTTTAATACAAATCTAAACCACTTCAGTGATTTCTAAAACATGCATGATTACTTGAGTTATATGTGTAAGCAGATATCCACGAGGGATAACCATATTGCTACATAAAACTGAAAAAAATCGACCACTGCAATTGAACTCAGTACTGAGGTTGACTATGAAATGAGTGTAACCTTTGGAAAAGCAACGAGTTGGCAGAGATTGTGATGATAACAAGTCGAAACTGCTCGCAATAAAATAATCTGATTTTTGAAAAGTCCATATGCGAAGCTGCAAAAAATATCCTACATATGAAATATGTGTAAACAAATACAGTCATCATATACATTTAGAATAGAATTACATGTACGATCATCATCATGATTATCACAATCCCTTAATATCTGAAATATAATCAAATTCTGTGATCATTTTACGCACGTTAATGATAGAAAGAAATAAGACTTAACAATAAAAATTTAGATTTAAAGGAATTAATTAGCCTTATATGATCTTGTTTTCGTTTCACAGAGTGGTTTTCTTACACATGATATGAAAAATAGAAACAGCCTCTAAAAAGTACAAAGTATGAAATCATTACCGTTTCGAAGGTATCACTCAGGTGTCTAATACAAGAAAAGGATGAACAACGTCAAAGCTTGTGCTTGACTTGTAAGCGATGACTGTAAGGTTATGGATATTAATCCACCAAGTATACGCGATCATTATGCTAACATCGTACATGCAACATTTCCAATTTTTAGATCGAAGTCAAACAGTTGAAGTTCCATCACTTAACTTAGTGGTAAACAGTAATATTCTATTTTAAACAGATCGAGTCAACGGGATTAGATTAACTAAATTGGCCATTCATCGTTTATTGTTAAATCACAACGAGAAACAAACTTCTAACGGATTATTACGAAACCCTGCTAGTAAGACAAGTGAAATGAACTTGGATTATATCACTAACTAGATGTAAGCGAAAATTATCAGCCATTGGATTTAAATTTAGAAATAATACTGAAAAGTGCTTAATATGAAAGATAGAGTGATAAAGATTTTAAATAAGAAGACATTGGGGATGAGTGAAAGGCTCCAAATATGTCGGAAAACAACTCTTCAGTTCATCTTCATTACTTATTATTCGTATTATTTTTGTTCTATGTCGTTGATGGATCGCGAAAATTACCTCTGAAGCAATCAATTTCAAGGAACAAATAACTAGAGGCATATAAGTCTTTGACGATCATATTTATGTTTTAATACAATTTTTGTGACACGCGATCATAATCAGTGAATCACAGCAGTAATGTAGCGATAAAAGAACACCAAACAAGTGTTAACCATATTGTAGGTTATTTTCTTTTTATTAACCAAAGTATTACACAACTGACAAAAACTAACACATCAATCAATCATGATATTGAAGTAAATAACTGTTTTAGATTTTAATACTTAATTAAATTAAACTTACTCCCTTTTTATTTGATAAAGTAACTCGTTGGAATTGGCCATTTACAACATGATAAGCGAACATAAATGTAAAACTATCACCCTATATAATAAAAAAGAATAACGAATAAAGGACAAAACAATACAAGCAATATGGAAAATATCTTTAATAATCAGTGAAAGTGACAATTATTCACATTTTGGTTAACAATATATGACAATAGTATTACAAATGTACCTAGGGGAATTAACGAATGTTTATTCACAGACTGAAATCACGAATCAGTTGAAGCTGGACCACCATGGAAAACCTGGAAGCACTGGACGGCCGTCTCGTCCTAGTATGGGACTCCTCAGCAGTGCGCATCCACGATCGCGCACCCCGCAGGATTCGAACCCAGGACCTACTGGCTTCGCGCGCGAGCACTTAACCATTAGACCACTGAGCCGGCATCCAACGGATGCGCACTGCTAAGGAGTCCGATACTAGGACGAAACGGCCATCCAGTGCTTCCAGGTTTTCCATTGTGGTCTAGCTTCAACTGACTCATTATTTCAATCTGTGAAAATTTCTAAAATCTCCACAAACCCTTTCTGAGAATATTTATTCATTGATGTTCGCGAAAATTAAGACTTCGCGATTAACGGGAAACTTTGTAGTCAAAAATCACATGCATAGAACACATTAAAAGAACCTAAACAGGGATGAACGCTATTTACAGAGTTAATAATAGGCTGTATATACAGAATTGGTTTGGAGATTTGTTAGCTGTCATCAATTCCTGATCACAATGTAGAGTATGTTGTTTATACATAAGGATGAAGTGGAAAGCGAACAAGGCATTGAGAGAAGACAATACAGCAATGAACCATCAAATGGCTGAATTCTAATCAGGTTGGATACAAGAAAGAAAGAAATATTAATGTTCCGCAAGTATGGTTTGAATCCTCGTGGTTATCCAGACCAATATTTGAAAACATGTAACATATAATATGTCTCCAATGTGGAGTCCGCCTCAATTCACTGTTTGTCTGTAAAAAAATTTACATAACTTATGTTGTGGTGAATCAATTGTAATTGACTAAAGGAGAACAGAATTACATAAAGAGGCATTAGATATTTAAAATTAACATTCTTTTTGCAATTACACAGTGGATATCTCAAGTGTACATGTGAACAAAGAATAACCTTTCAAAATTTTTTTACTTTTGCCTGAATAGAATTACTTTTTTGATTGACGATTAACGGTTTCCCCTTTCAGATGTTAGAATAGAATAGCATCTATTCGCATTTCTTTTCTATACACACACTTATGTAGACAAAAACCAGTAATGTCAATGAAATAATGTTAAATCACATGATTGATATATTTCTATGATGCATGCAAGAAGCAATTAGCTAAGCATATATATTAGACCTTTCTTTTTAAGATAACCTCACTAGATATATTATCGTGGCTGATCGTAGTCAATAAATTTTTTACACTACCCTAAAAAGTACTTGGCCAGTAACACTTGATTTTAAATCGCCATAATGAAAAAATGGATATTCATTTGTGATTTACCTTAACTATTAACTAACGTATTATACGGTTAAGTACATGGAGGTAACCCATAAAATGTCTGATAATTTATAGATGAGATTCAGATGAGTTATTCTCTAATGCAATACCAATAACATACGCTAAACGCAGTATTTGTTTGGTTTATATGAAATAGAGTGTATGAAATGAAACAGGTTGTTCATTCAATTTAACAACTATAAGGTTAGCGATGATTATCAGGATGATAGTATCATAGCAAATAGATATACAACTAGATTTTTTAAGCTGATTTTCAACTTTAAATGACTACCGTTGATAAATATTATTAACGTAGAATATTATTTATGTAGTAAACGAACACTCAGGTGGGGAAGACCAATTTATTGTTTAATAAAAAAATACAGGTCTTCGTAAAATACGAAAACCATACATTAAATACTGCATTTGCACATCTACTATTTGTCTCTTACAAAATTCATCATTCCTTTATTCCCGTTGTTTTTACAATAACTCTCTGTTTACATTCCTGTTCTCCTCAATTCGATATTCTCAACCTTCTGCTGACAGGCATTCCAATTCTGATCGGTGTAACAGACTACTTATGTTGACAGATATAAGTAGCATACATCACAATTATGGTCAGAGTGCATTAAAACAGTAGCAAGTTAGTTAACTTTCTCAATATCTAACAATTATAAGCTGTGTTGAATTTTGAGCAAGATGAACAGGTAAACACAAATGAAGGATTCACATAATGGTTAGATATCAATAAACAAACCAATATTTATTTACATGGTAAATGGTGTGCAAGCAATAATTAATTGAAACTTTATGTAGGCCAGATTTAAATACAGAAAGACGTGGATGTGATGAAACTTTTTATGGAATATATGAGGAACGGCGGTTTGACTTTGTTTTGGAAATGTAATATTTTTATAAGGCTTACTGACATGAATTGAAATTATTTATTAAAACTGGCTTTTGCGATGAATATACTGGTGGAATTGAAACAAACTTTGGAACACTAAATTTTTTCTTAGAACAATGAAGGATTCACATAATGGTTAGATATCAATAAACAAACCAATATTTATTTACATGGTAAATGGTGTGCAAGCAATAATTAATTGAAACTTTATGTAGGCCAGATTTAAATACAGAAAGACGTGGATGTGATGAAACTTTTTATGGAATATATGAGGAACGGCGGTTTGACTTTGTTTTGGAAATGTAATATTTTTATAAGGCTTACTGACATGAATTGAAATTATTTATTAAAACTGGCTTTTGCGATGAATATACTGGTGGAATTGAAACAAACTTTGGAACACTAAATTTTTTCTTAGAACAATGAAGGATTCACATAATGGTTAGATATCAATAAACAAACCAATATTTATTTACATGGTAAATGGTGTGCAAGCAATAATTAATTGAAACTTTATGTAGGCCAGATTTAAATACAGAAAGACGTGGATGTGATGAAACTTTTTATGGAATATATGAGGAACGGCGGTTTGACTTTGTTTTGGAAATGTAATATTTTTATAAGGCTTACTGACATGAATTGAAATTATTTATTAAAACTGGCTTTTGCGATGAATATACTGGTGGAATTGAAACAAACTTTGGAACACTAAATTTTTTCTTAGAACAATATACGGCTAACTGATAATAATAATAATAATAATAATAATAATAATAATAATAATAATAATAATAATAATAATAATAACGATTTGTATATATATGCAGATAGGTTAGAATGAGGTTATAACAAACAAGCGAATTGCTTATTTCACCTTGGACAGCACTAGTAGTGGCCAAGTCGTATTTTCATGATGGGTCTATATGGATAAGACTTTCATCATAAATGATGAAATATATATAGACAAGTACTTATTTTATTAAATCTTCTCGAGGAGTGAGAGGGTACTCGTCAGTCTAACTAAATGAAATTACACTATGAATTTTCATTTATCAACCCATACTAATGGCAAGATGAAACGAGAAATCTCTCGATACCAGCGTGTATATGACTAAACCTTACAGATATATATATATATATATATATATATATATATATATATATATATATATATATATATATATATATATATATATATATATAAAATAAAGACGATATAAAAAAGATTCATATACTTTACACTAGATGACCTAATAAAGATGATTACTCATTAAAATTTCAATCACTTTACCGGCACTTCTCGATACAATGTAAAGAAAAAAATACAATTATCACGCAATACAACGTTATAATAATGTATCTAACCAAGTTCTAACGTTAATGGATAAACATCGAAGAGCGACCAGAACATCGTGAGACGTATGAATAATAACGATAATCGTATTATACTATGAACTGACTAAAACTTGGCAATAAAAACTACTGGATCCCAACTAAATGCCCACTATAATACCTCGATGACCTGGGTTCAATTCCAAAAGAATCAATAAGTGAGGACACCTTAATAGTCCCATACTACGACGAAACAGCTGACCGATGTTGCTTAGTTTCCGATGCTACTCTTAAATGATATCAATTTGAAACGAATAATATCTAAAAAGCAAATTAATCTCCGCAATAACTATCATGAAAGATTTCGTAAAAATTGATTCATGTCACTAGCACTTCAACATTTTTTTAAAAACTATTCTATTCGCTCTACAATTAGTAGTAGAAACAGAAACAATTGGTGAAACACATACAGAAATTTTCCAGGGAGGAAGATGGTCTTTTCCTATCCATAAAATCACACACTACTGATAGCCAGTTGTACAAATATAATAAAAGTAATAATAGTGTGAGTGTACAACTATTTAGAATAATTTCTTACCTTCGGTTTGCATACAATCAATATTTTATCGAATAAAAATAAATATCTGCAAATTAGACAAAGAAAATAAACAGGAAATACAAACCTAGTGAGAAAAGTCAATAAAAACATTTTAGAAACACGTATATACACATTTCACTAATTCATAATTCAATGTTTTGAGCTACATTTAAGTTACTGGTATCGAATACAGATTTACGTAGCCAACATTTAGTCACAAAGTTTTATATAAACTCAAACGATGCTACTCAGTTGCCCAAAAAGAAGACAGAGAAGAGGATGCTGATCTGCACAACCCAGTGAATGAAATTTACAATACCACATAGAAATTGAATAGGCCAAAGTATAGTAAAGTAGCCAATAACATCCTCCTTTTGATAATAACAGAAGTGCGAAGTCATAAAACTAAATCCTGACAAAATCATTCATCTATTGAACACCGTTAACAAAAAAGTGCAACATTTCCCAATGTAGTTAAATGATGAGATTATACTTATTAATTGTTCCAATTAAAGCATTAATTGACATTTCAAAGAAGAGAGCGGTTGGGGAATAGATATTAGTTACAGAACTTCTTAATGTGTTAAATAAAGGAATTTAAAATTAAGATGCAAATATTAGTACTGGTTATAATAATTTATTTCATTTTGAATAATAAGTTACTTCCAACCTTTAATAGGAATAAAATCATGTGTAAAAGCTTGTTAAAATTAACATTTTACTGGTAATCTGTGAATGTTTTTTGGATTATAAAATCTATCAACTTCGGGTAATCAATCTTATTTCATCATTATTTGCTGAAATTCATAACTTAAGAGAAGTGAATAATAAATGAAAATAATTTCGAGAAAATGGTTAGAAAACACTTGTTACAGGTTATGTAGGAAATGAGTATTGACTGAGTACAAAAAAACATGCACTCGAATATAGTTTTTCTAAAGTAAACATTCAAGACCATAGTAAACAGACTATTTGAAAGTCTTTTTCTGATAGACTGATTTATGTATATAGACGATCGAAACTCGACTAAATCTTTAGCTTTGATAAAATCTAAAACTGAACTTTTTTACCCTTTCTAATCTACTGTGAGCTTAAATCGTATACCTAACTACGGTGTAGACGAAATGCACAACGATTTACCTCAGATATTTTACCGTTTCAATGATTATCCTCTTAAAAAGATTTCGTTTTGGCCAACTTAGTCAAATTACCAATCAACCCGTTGTCATCCTTAGCCAGTTTTGTTAAGGTTGGGTTTTGTCGAGATAAATTTATGCAAGCAACGTGAATAGATGAGATAATATAATGACTGGGAACAATACATTGTGATTGTATTATGATTGAGCGAATAGATGCAAATAACAAACTATGGAAGCTGTTCTGCGGTGAACTACCATAAATATTTTAATGTGTATTCATAAAATAATTGATGAATGGTATTTTTACACTAATCTAACTGTAACCTTTTATTTAACTCATTAACTATTGCTAGTTTTTTTCCGGTCATTAATTTCAGTAAATAATTCATTAACCTGTGTCAAGTCCCAAACTTGAAATATGAATATTCATTGTTTATAGTGTAATATGGCCTCCAAATTTATGTGTAATTAAGTGAGTCTTGAGTTCCAGTGTTAATTCAAATATATTACTTAATTTCGTCTTCTTGAACCATATTCTTAATGTTTATTACTATCATTACTATTAAAATTACTTCGACTTGTTTGCTCTCCTGTTTGATAATTTCATTTTGTTGAGCTGATGTAGTAGAGTCAGTTGGGTCAACGCACATTTGTGGAAGGCTTCAAATTTATTATAACTTACTGACTCATAACAAACCATAATTACCAACCGTTTAAACCGAGAAAATGATAACAGTACTAACAATTCCAAAACCGTTAAATCTTAATGTAAATCATTTCCAAGAGCTTGTGGATGTTAGGGATTTCAACTTGTTAGTCATTATTGACATATTTGCACCTTGAATGGATTGCCTCGAAATCTCCATTTAATTACAAAATTTTATTAAAGTTGGATAGAGACTAGCAGTGAAATTCATGATGCATCTTTCATACTTACTTGTAAGTCGATTTGAGAAGTAGATTTATGGGCACGATATTATTATTAATGTTTTCATAAAACAATTTAATATACAAAATAACGTAACATAATCAATACATTTAAGGTATAAAATCGAAATTCATTGCATAACTGACTCTAGTACAATGTTATATTACCTAGTTTTCGCTTTGCTTTCTGATTCAGAAAGAACTTTCACTTCTCCATCCATATGCAAGTGCCCATAACTTGATAACCTTTTATCTGGAGGCTGAAAAATTAACAAATGACACAATATAACTGGAAATAAAAAGTGATGGTGCATGTAATTCAAATTTACTTACTCAGTCAAAAGCAAGTTAGTGGGAAGTAATTATTTGCCGAAAATTATTGATATTGTAACTTTTGCGCTTATATATAGGGAGAGAGATGCGATCAAATGAGAACTTGGATTATTAATTAAACTATTAGCATTACACCTGAAAACCACGTTTACATGACCTACAAAGTACAAGTATAATACCGATATATTTGAATATCTTTCTGGTATTTGACTATAACTAGAACGATTACGCTAAATTATGTAATAATGATGAACAGAAACATGTTATTTTTACTATTGTAGCCGAAAATGTGACGTAACAGAAATCTGCATTTCCGAAACATAAACACAGTAGTTCAACTGCATGAAGCTGATTATGAATACGCGTATCTAATGCTAATCAACTAAAACGTCCTCCTCGCGTTTAAATTGGCGCAGTACTGAAATTGGAATAGAGACTAAACTAAGAGTATTGAAAGAAAAATAGACTAAGTTGTAACACCAAATCAACAGGGCGAGATTAAATTGTTACGATGAATACCAGATCAATAATAACAATATAAGTGGTAGTAGAAAAGATTAAAGGCAGACAATGTGATTAGAGAAGAAAAGTTAAATTCGTGGAATATAAAGTACAAGACAATTTTCAGATCCAAGATGAAATAAAAAATAAAGAATGAATGTATCTGCGCTATTGTGACCGATTCTGAGTCATTTTATTGAACGTCTTCAACCAGTAATCAAGATAATCACGAGAATCCCAACCAGATAAATATCCACAACTTCATAAGAATTACTAGGACTTATTTGTAATAAATATTTAAAAACTGAGAGTTAGATTTTAAAAATTTCGATGATTAGTATAATTTCAAGTAATGATTTTGTTCAGAATATCGTAAACTGATTGATGCTGGAAATGCACATAATCACCAACCTAGTAGTCAACAGTTTAACGCACTTGTAATGAAAACTGTTAATCATGCTATGTTCGCTTTCTGGAGACGTTACAGATATTTATTGTTATGGAATCCTATACTAGGATAAAACAACTAGGTGTAGTACATGGTTTTTAATGGGCCACCAACTGATATCAGCTCATGATGAAAATCATCCACATATTAAACAAGTCACTGTGTGTAAATATATTTTTGAAAGCATTCATTTAATACAAATCAATCCAATATTGTCTAAACTCTTTTTGGATTTACTTTATCCATGATATTTCTCACAAACAGAAACTATTCACTTATAACTTTGATGAATATTTTCTCGATATAATATCCAATATAATATTCAAACAATAAAAGATTTTACGAGTCACACGATGTGAACAAGCTATAATAAGTAAATAAATCAGTTACTTAATCAAGGTCACTTCCTTTCACCTGCCTATTTAATGTTTGAATTCTTACGACCATCTATAATCAGACATTAAGAAATTTATCTTCGCATACAATTCAGTTCTCTTTTGCATACATTCAATATGATAAAGAATTAAAAGAATTCATTGCTAAGAATTGAATTGAATTGCATATCCCTTTACTAAATTCTAAAACTAATCATGAAAACTAGTGATTAATCAATCTTAATATTGTGAGAAAAAGTGAATAAAATTTTCATTTCTCTAATAAATAACGTAAAACTTATCAGGAAATAACAGAGAAGAATAAAAATTAATTTTATGAAATAGTTTATTTTTAGAAAAAAAATTTTGTGATTATTTGAAATGGAACATTATACAGAGAAAACCAATAGCATTCATGAAAAGAATAAGATGATATTTATTTCAACACTAGACAATCGTAATTCATTTATTTCACGGTTGATTTCCCTTATTATTGGTTTTTACTATGGCAAGATAAACTGAAACTGACTATATTCATCAGTTGAAACTGTTATTGTTCAATTAGATAGCATTGCAAAATTAGCAGTCACAGTTGTTTAATTATAATGATTATGTTATGATTCTCTCTTATTACAATCCAGCTATTCCTATTGTTTAGTATTCCTGGACACCAATTCACTCGACAAGTCCCCAAATCAGAACATGGTTGAAAAGAAAGAGATTATATTCCAAATAACAAGGTTAGATGGAAGTAAGGAGCACAATAGGAAAACCGTTAGTATATTTATAGTTTTTGCATGAGAAGATTCTAGAGTGTCCTCCAAGTATCGACTAGCGCTGATTGAATAAGAACTAGCTAATCAGCACGCGCCAACGCAATCGTGCATTGAGCACGCTTTAATCCCGCCAACAGATTATATGAATGAAATTTCTTTTGGATGCATCATTTAGTGTATTCTTCTTTTTAAGAAACATTAAAATAGCCTTCAATCTCTGATCATTATTTAATAAATTAGGGTGCACAGCAAGTAACTTACTACTATATAGAAATAATTAACAGATTGACGAAATTCCTTGTTGTCTATCTATTATTTAGTGAATCTAGGCGCTGGTCTGTTTTTTCTAATGAATACGTTTCAATCCATAATTCTTAGTATGTCACATGATGTTTTTATAATACAGGATCATCTTTATTTCTGTTTCACTGTCATTATTTTAAGCATAGATAAAGACTGAATTTTCGAAGTTTGATCACAGCAAACCACTTTTCAAGATCAAACGACTAATAAAGTCAATAATAAAAAAGTTGGAAAATTTACTATTATGACAATTATCACTTAGTAAATGATCATTTTATTAATCGGATGTCGTACGCAAATACATCATTTGATAAAAATTCAATCAAATATAATTAAAAGTCATGAAAATATCACACTACTACTACTCACCAGCATTATTTCAAGTAAACTGTCAAGATAACGAAAGAAAGAAACAAAAGATATGGAGCAGGTAAAAAATCAGCACATAAAATAGAGAAAAATGACTAATTTATACAATAAATGAATTGTTTTAAATTGTCAAATCCACCTTAGGTATCATTGAAATACCGAATTTAGTTTGATGTATGAACAAAAGAATAAATGACAAATGGAATTTTCCATATGAGAATGGCTATTTGGAAGTAAGCCAACAATAGACATATACGTGATATCATGAAAACAAACTTTAAAGAAATGAGCGATGAGAATTTATTCACACACATGTCTAATTAACTTAAAAAGATGATAATTGGTGTGAGAGTAGATTAAAAGAAAGCTATGGGGCGGTCAAACCAAGGCACGGAGTCAGTTAATGAAGATGCGAACCGTTGAACTGAGTCATGCAGACTATCTGGTTAGGGTATGAGTGATAATCGTGATCAATGGTTAGACTTCGGGTGACTTAGCTCAATTACAATCACCCTTCGTCCTCCCTTAGATTTTAAGTCTATAAATTATTTCATAAATTTTTTATTCCTTTAGTCCATATTTTCTAGAACCATTTGTTCGCGGCCTAATCTATTCTACTAACAATAAGACTGTTACTACCTCTGATTGTTATTGAAGCGAAATTTAACAAATGCTGTAAAGTACTCACGAATTTGAAAAACGAATATACACTGTAGTATTCTAACCTATCATTCAAATATAATTTTCACATATAATGACTTATCATTATTACAGTTTAAAGATTCAATATGATGTATAGTGATTATATATGCGCTCACGCAAAACATATCCATAACTGAAATTCAAATGACTAATTAAAAACCGATTGTTTTAGGCTTGGATTATTTATCCAGTAAATTGCAGTGATTTAAGTGATCGACTCTGGATTAAACCAATGGTATAATTCTCTATGGAAAAAATATTTATATTTTAATATCATAGATTATGATTCCTGAATTATTACAATTAAAAGTTAATTAAAACTCGCATTTGACGTTTTTGTATGATTAGAACCTATTGAATCGGTAGAATTATTCCATATAACCCTAAGTATCAATCGAACACATTTACAATTATAAGGTCAAAACAACTATGTTAACCAGGCAACATATATAGATAATAATTTATTATTTAACAATCACAAGTAACCAATAACTCATCAAGAAAGGTGAAGTTTAATTAATAATCTAAAAATGGATTGAATGGTTATAATCTATAGATTAAGTGAAAAAACAAACCTGGATTGAATTTGATCAATCGAGCTAATCGTGTCAAGATCTCGTTTAACATCGTTGATAGATAATGCAACTTCACGCATAGCTTCGTGAGCTACAGTTAGATCAGGACGATCATAGTGATCAGCTGGAGTGAGTTTACATAGATGCTGAAATTTAAGAAAAGTACTTATTTTATTCATTGGAACTGGTATAGTTTATTGATCTGAAAATGCTTTACGACCAATAACAGTGAACCCAATAAAATGTATTCAAATGATTCAGTAGTTGAATGTACTTTCTAGAAGACATCAACGTTTACCGAAGAAAAACTGAAAACAACTGAGACAATGCTTGAGTTTTTACTATAACGTAGGGACAATGTAAGAAATAAGACACACTCACGTTTTTTTATAGTAACAGTTATGAATCCCATACACTTGAACACAATTTTGATTATTATTATTATTATTATTATTATTATTATTATTATTATTATTATTATTATTATTATTAGTAGTAGTAGTAGTAGTAGTAGTAGTAGTAGTAGTAGTAGTAGTAGTGGTAGTGGTAGTAGTAGCAGTTGTAGTAGTAGTATTGACAAAATTGTAAGTCATACAGAAAAAATTCAAAGCTATCAAAAAAATCCAGATATTTAATAATTAGATTCCAGGTAAACAAAGCAAAACAAATTACTAGTGAGTTGATAACAATAATCTAGTTGAAGGAGTTTTGGGGAGATTGTTTTAACTTGTAGGCTGGATTCGCCATAAATTACTCTCAGTCGGAACATCAAAGAAAATCAAGGGGCATTGAACAACTGCTTTGTTCTAGTACAGAGCTCGGAATCACTCATCCACTAGGCTCTTCATATTGTGAATTGGCGCAAGATTTAAAATTTCTAAGTTCGACCTTTAGTGGAGTCGTGAATGTGCAGTGATGAGGTCAATATTCATGATGAATACAATCCACAAATCGAGCCGATCTCCTCAAAACCACCTAAACTAAACTACTATAATAGTCAGTTAACCAGTGACTTCAAGATGTTCCTAAAGTTAGTGACTGTTGGAATTCAGACAAATCGTGAGTGCAACAAATAATTGTAAATAACTAAGGTAATACCCTAAATCCGAAGACGATTTGATACGAGACAATATAATTAGACTGAATATCAACAGGTGTTAACAGAATACAAACAGAAATTTGATTGTAGTTGATTCACTTGTCATATGTTTTACATATTCAATCCAAGGTTAACTAATTTGATCACTAACCTGAACACAAATATTTCATGATATGATAAAAAGTTCCGCCTTTCGAAGTCAGTCTAATACTCGGACAATATCACATGATTCAACTGAATTACAATGTACATATTATTGTACCTGGCATCAAATCATACTCTACTTGTGGGGAGTAGTAGTAACAATCGACTTCCCAAACCGAAGTAGGCGGGCTGGACTCGAACCAGCAACCTAGTAGTTGAAGGTCGAACGCCTTAACCACTGAACCACTGCTCGGGTATCAAAAATCATATAAAATTACTCGAATGATTTAACCAGTGAAAAAAAATACCGAAAGTGTCAAGATATATGAGGAGTTATACTTGTACACATTTACATTGAGGGGTTTAGAAAAAATTAAGAATGAAACATATTGCCCAGAAAATGCATTTATTCACTTCTTTTTACCTAAATTTCAAACGGTATTTATTAGTATCAGGAATCTGACACTTGATATTTCAATTAGTTGTGGGAAATTAAATCAGAAGAAAACAAATCTGTAGAAGCAATAAAATAAAATGTTATGTAATACTAAAAAAATAATAACTTATCAAACACACAAGCTCACCTCTAACAGAAGATGATATTTCAAAACGCGTTGGATTGGTATTGTAAGTAATTCAGCCAAAGCGAATTTATTGTATTTCTCTGAATTTGACTGACATAACTATGAATGATTTGTTTAAAAAATGGAAAATGAATGGACCATTAAAAGAAATCAAAATTAGAGAGACTGTATAAATATATCTTAGATACTTTTGTCCTATAATCCCGAAACATTGAAAAAAACAATTATCTTTGTTTCATAACGAGGATGTCAAATTTAATCTTTACGTATTTCAGTAATTACATGAGTTTTAACCTAGTCTCCAAAAATTGAGATGTCAGCTAAAAACGATAAAATACTCATTATTTGGGTGATTTTAAGTGAGGAATATTAATCAACCAATTCAACATTCTTCTGAAAATAACCGTCACTAGTTTTTTAATGATGTCATGAATCGCAAGTACATTTATAAAGGTGTAGGGTTAAACACTTAAATTTTGTTTTGGTATTTCAAGGCATTCCTCGGATATAAAGGGAATAACTTACGACACAGTGATCCACAATGACGAAAACAATACTGTAATTCACCATCAAATGACATATAAAACCATTAACTCAAAACTAACTTTCGCACTTGCTGAATCATCGAATTTTTGCATTAAAGTCCCAAAGTAAATACTTACGAAACAACTGGTTAATTTTAAGGCAGATATGCGTCCACGGCAGGAAATCTACGAGTTGCGAAAATGATCAGAGCCAAAACAGTCATTGATATAGAGTAATTTATTTTATTAAAATCGATGTTCCAAGCCGTTATAGCGACTCACGTGTAATTGAGTTTATTCTCATTTAGCTCAGTTAAGCCCTTTTGCAAACTTATTTAGCGGACAGTCATCCGCACTATAGCAATTTAATGTACCCTTGTTATTATTGTGCTTGTATGAAATACGTATGCTTGAACATTGTTTAGCGCCTACGCATATATTCATCCTGCTAGCTTCATTATTAACCGCTTAATCTATTCGATGACTGATCCATTTTCCTATATATATATATATATATATATATATATATATATATAATCTCTTTCTAAATAATAATAACGACTTTCTAACATATGTTGGGATTCCATGTCGCAAGTCACTTACACAGAAATACTTTAAAGCAATGATTCGGTTACTTAGTTTAGAACTTTCTGTTTTGACATTTGGGATTGGTTGATGTTTCATTCACTTCAATATGGATCCAAACGTTACCTTTCACAATATCCACATGTATCGATATGTTGTTCCATCAAGTCTTGAAACTAGATCTCACATTATCTATAACCTTCGAAGTCAACCTTGCTTTTCATCCCGTTGCTAAAAAAGATAATCATTTAGAAATCTGTCCCTTATGTGTTACTGTTGTAATCAAAAGAGTAGCTTGCACTACGGAAGCAAAAAGTTATAACGGTGTAGTGGCTGTGCTTCGATAACTAATCACCCTCGAACCGTTATCGTACAATCTTCAACGGTGTTTGAAATCGGAAGGTGAAAAGAAGCAGCTACTACAGTTTATTTAGCAGATAATTCGGACCAGATAGCAGAGAGGCAAAGTCAGTCAGTCAGTAACAACGTAGAACTTCGTACGTACGTACATCAGTTCGAGTTGCCACACCACATTAGCACAGAGATGCACTTGTCGATTCAAATCCCGTAGTGGTAGAGGTAATAAGAGTATAAGCAGTAATCGGGAAGATTAGGGTTTGGAGATGTTATTTAAAGAGTATAATCCAGTGAAATAAATTTGGAAAGAGGAAAAAACGGACATGAAGAATTCAGAAGATTAGAATTTGGGAGAACACAGAGAGTGGATGCACCTGCGCCATTGCAAACGATTTTGAGCCATGTCATTCAGGGTCTCTAACCATCGGTTGCTGTCATCTCGCGGTCCCCAACCAGGTAGTCTACACCTACCAACATGACTCAGTTCACTTGTCAGTGACTTCATGGACTTGTGCCATGTTTTGGTTTGGCCGCCCCTACCTTTCTTCTAACCTACTCCTATACCACTGAACATAGCACGTCGAGGCAGTCGGTCGTTGGGCAGACAAAAATAATACTTAGTTCTATCATGACACACCTGGTTGACAGTGGGTGAATGGTGAATAAAGCTGAATCGTTTCTAGTGATCTATCGCATAGCTCAAGTTATAAGGATCTGAACCTAGAACAAAAGTTTATACGTTCAGAAGAAATTTGTGATATCTCTCCCTTTCTTGGTCGGATGTAACTTAATACACGACTTTACTAATTTTAATATCCTGTATTTATTTGTTCTTTTTCACCTTTTTCCGTTCATATTCTTCAATATCTAATCATTTACATACTTCTTATTACTTAATTCTAATGATGCTTTGTGATTATTATTTTTAGGATCTATTTATTCAAGTGTAACCTACCTCCTATGTTGAATTATTGATTAAAGCTTTTATTATTTCATTATTCTTATTACTAGTACACGTGTCTATCTACTATTAAGTGGTACTTTCTACCTATCATGTGTAGTTATCCAATCTATTTGACTGTGATCATATTCGCATAAATCACCGCGATTAGTTTAAAATTCTCACAAAAATATTCATGTATATTAGGGTGAAGACTAATGACGATTAAATTGAAAACAATGCTGTTCGCTTAAACGTGTTGTTCTAACTTTAGATTGTTCAAAACTCACTCGCATTTCCTATTGATCCATACATCAAGGAATGTTTAACAACAAGAGGTTTTGAGAATAGTTCAAAATATAAAGAGATTTCGTAGTCAAGCGCTGTTGAACTGTTAATACAAATAGGATTACTAAATAGTCATCAGTGCTATGCTCTATTGAATTCAGTGGAGTGATGAATAAAAAATAACTAAAAACTAAACGATACAATATTCATCACCATACAACATATACCAATGGAATATGTACTTCTGCGTAAAGAACATTATTGATAATCCTAAATACCTTCAGTTCAAGACCCAGGTATCTGATAAAAATAAATAAAACATGTAAGAAGTACTCTCACGCGTACACAAGGAGAAAGAAAATGACAGTACTAATTATCATAACTTACTTCTATTTTGTTACGTTTTTCTACATCATTTCGCATAATTTCATAAACTAAATTTTGAGCATGTTGTAAATGACCACAATATTCTCCATATATGAGAAGATTATCTCGAGTTTTAAGAAAAACATCACTTAAACTAAGGAAATTCACAGTTGCACTAGTTGCCAAACTCAGATTACTTAAAAACTCTCTATGAATAGTATGTAATTCCTGGATAAATTAATAAGAAAAGAAATAAAACAAATCTTATAGTATCAAAGTAATACGATGACACATAATATTTGTTTCTTACATTTAATCTCGTACATTTACGCACACCAAAATAGTCACAGTTTCATAAATATGAATAAATAACTTTGAACTACGAAAGTTATAAATAGAATTACACTGGGATAATAGCACAGTCATAGTACTTTTAACGAATGAAGCACATTTGTAAAGTACATAAAAATTAAATTCAACATAGTGGTATCGCAGAACTAATTTATTTAAGGAGTTTTAATGCTTAGTATACACTACCAATGAAGTAATTCAGGCTTAGGAATATTAAGCACCTTTATTCTTAGTTTAATACTATTCAACAATACAAGCTCTTCACTACTTTCATAGATGAACCTCTTATCTTCAAGTTTTATGGTAAGCAAATTAACTTTATTCAGCCCAGTGAGATTAACTTGACTATTCTGAAGTGTCGTTAAGGATGATCAGTCTAAGACTGGGGTGAAGATACGGGAATTAAATCCTTACCAAAACTCAATTAAGTAACCAGTAATTATTATAAAAGAGATAAAAACTGGTGGACATTTAATCATGATTCAACACACCAATTACAAGACGCCTATTGAAAACTCAAAAAGTGCATGTAATACTCCTAGTTTTCAAAAAATTTTCAATTATCCTTCGGAGAGGCGAAACCCAAGCTACGCATAAAGAGATGTCATATACTAGCCCTAATTAGTAGATTTGCAGTTTTTATCAATAACAGTTTGTATATTAAAACCATCACAGATTGCCTAATTACAAATTAATTACTGTGTTCATGGAAGTCTGATCAGCCCTAATGGGTTGGTGTCTGACGAAATCTCAGCACGGATTCGAAAAGCTCGTTTGGCTTTTGCCAACTTACGTCACCTATGGCGAAGGCGAGATATCCGTCTATCAACAAAAGGACGAGTATACTGCGCGGCAGTCTGTCCTGTTTTAATTTACGGCAGCGAAACATGGCCATTAAGAGTAGAAGACACTCGTAAGCTACTAGTATTTGACCACAGATGCCTTAGAAATATTGCTGGCGTCTGCTGGGATCACCGGCTAAGTAATAGTGAAGTTAGACACAGGGTATTAGGGAATGATGGTTAATCGGTGAATGAGGTTGTGAGTCTTCATCGACTAAGATGGTCAAGCCACGTGTTACGTATGCCTGAACACCGATTACCACGACGTGCAATGCTGACTAGTGTTAAGAATGGTTGGGAGAAAGTTAGGGGCTGCCAAACCAAAACGTGGCATCAGTGTTTTAAGTCACTAACTTCTAGTCCTAGCCATGTTGGTAGATGCAGATTACTTGGTTGGGGTCCGCGTGACTATCGTAACCAATGGTTGGAGACTCTTGATGGCATGGCTCAGAATCGTTCACGATGGCGTCGGTGTATACACTCTCTGTCTTCCCTTAAACTAAGAGATTAAAATCACTTCATATCTTTCTACGAACTAATTCTTTCTTCCTGTACTATATCCTTATTGCAATCTCTCTTTTATATATTACCACCTCTGAATTAACTACTTTTATGAATCCGGTGTCCATCTTATTGTGTTAATGAGGTATGGCAACTTGGACCGATGCATATATGTGCCTGGTCCTACGTTGTAGCTGACTGACTGACTGACTTAGTGTTCACAGCTAACCGCTTTGACTGCGACGGGGAAAAACGGCTAGGTAGCTAGCGCATTTATATCCCCAAATGGCTTGTTTCACTCTTTTGCAACAACTAGGGATCATATGGAGCGATGGAGGTTTAAATGAGACATGCTTAGTAGTTCAGCCTCATAGTTAAGAATATAGTGCAGTGGATCAATAATCATAAGATATTCGATTTAAAATCAGAATGAGACTCAGATTTTCTCTCAATTTTTATTTTGAAATAATAAAGTGAGTTGATGAAGTAACAAGATCCTTGAAAAGCGAGGAGTTGTAGCGCTGAAACTTTTATTCAGGTATATGTTCTTTTGAATCAAGATTATTATTCGTAATATACGGAGAAAGGAATGTCTAAAACTACACTCAGATCTGGCCAATTCGATCTCTAATATGCTATATTTTTGCTGAAAATCGGTGGAAAAGAAGGCCAGTTTCACACATGAAGGAATAACAAAACTAACGTATATGCAGAAACAAATGACAAAGATAAGTGAGGAAACTCTTTCAATCAAAATGGAAAAATAATCTGAAAACCTTATCTAGGTACTAATAGGATAATAAAAAGTAATAAAATTGTGGCACAGATACAAAAGTCCTACTTAAATTTTTCGAACTCTGCCATATGTGAAGTTGAGATGTACTACCGAAGAATGGGTATGTTGTCCAACAATTTACTTTGTATTGATTTGTCACTGTAAAAAACGACCTAGGGACTAGAATTTAAGTTGCCAGTGAAATGGATGCATAACCACGATAGCCTCCTACTTACTCTGCTGACTAACATAAGAGTTAGTGACAGGGGGTAAGAAAAGTCATACTAAGACACAGAGTATTACTCGTAAGCATTTTAATTTAATGTTACCAAAACTATACGTTCATTTTGGAGTAAACGATGCATCTTAAAAATAGAGTAGATGTACTGAGAATGTTTACTTTTCACGACAAATTACTATCCAAAAAAACCATATCATCTTAGCACGCTAGTATCGTTATTTTGAAAAATTGGTGAGTAAAAGCAAGTGAACTGAATATTTTCGAATTTCTACATAATAATTACCTCAATGTACTTGAAAATCTCTTCAATTTCGTTGTGCGAAAGAACTCCAATAAGCGGATGCTTGTACTTCTAAATTGCGATATTAATTAATAAATAATTCAACTTTCTATTCTACCTCAATTAACATTTTCAACACATCTACGTAATTTTTTTCTGTATCCACTATTTCGCGAATACAATACGCTCGTGCTGTTGTTGGTTCAGAGTCCAAATTCTATGTTGACAATTTGGAATAACAGTTACAAAAGGAAACATAAAAAATTACTAGACGAGATTTTGAACCTTGATACACCACTGTATCATACAGTTTTTCTTTATTTTCCTCTTCCATTTGAGTATAATTTGGTTTTCCAGAGTCAGGTAATTTATTCCTAAAATGATGTATTATAATAATGAAAAACAATAATGATAGAATTTTATTATCTACATTGCAGCAGCGATTTCCTCAAGATTATTATAATATTCATGAGTTGATTGTAGCTTTGAATTTTCTGGTGGAAAACCACTATGTTTGGAAATAAACGACAGAAGAAATAAAAGACATACGGTATTCCAGTTAACTGTGCTCTTCTTGAGTATGATAATTTTGATAAAGTTGCAATCGCTTTCCCAAAATTTTTAGCATGATAAATATCACCAGGTTGAAATAGCAAATTTCTGGGAATATCAAATTCTTTTTCACATAACTGTGTAAATAGTCGAAGATTTTGAAAACATAAAAACTGAGAATTTTGTGGCATATGGCTAAAATCTTTCATCGATCTTATATCCAACTCATGGTTTGATAATGTACTTAAAAGATGGCATAAAGCAACTCCGTCCATTAAGGCCTGAACCAAGTGAATCGCATTACCATCTGGCCCCAGAGCCGGATGATCATCCGGGATAACTTGACATCTATTTAACCATTCAGCACACTGTCTCCAATCATCTTCCTCTTCCATAATAGTTTTCAAATTTACTACAAATAACACATCGAAAGAAGCAATAATTTGAGCATCAAAAGCGGTTATATAATCATGGTAGCAACAAAGAAAGATCAGTAATATCCCTAAAGATTATATTCGAGGTTAATGATCTTAAAAATGAAAAACTCGTCATAATTGGACAATTATGATAGTCATCAAGCAAACTGGAGGGTGCACATCCTTAATCAGAGTGGCCCTTTTCACAATTTCGTGTTGAGTCTATTATATAAAGCAATTTGTGTAAATATAGTACTTTAATCAGTCAGTCAGCTACAACGTAAGACCAGGCACATATATGCATCGGTCCAAGTTGCCATACCTCATTAACACAATAAGATGGACACCGGATTCATAAAAGTAGTTAATTCAGAGGTGGTAATATATAAAAGAGAGATTGCAATAAGGATATAGTACAGGAAGAAAGAATTAGTTCGTAGAAAGATATGAAGTGATTTTAATCTCTTAGTTTAAGGGAAGACAGAGAGTGTATACACCGACGCCATCGTGAACGATTCTGAGCCATGCCATCAAGAGTCTCCAACCATTGGTTACGATAGTCACGCGGACCCCAACCAAGTAATCTGCATCTACCAACATGGCTAGGACTAGAAGTTAGTGACTTAAAACACTGATGCCACGTTTTGGTTTGGCAGCCCCTAACTTTCTCCCAACCATTCTTAACACTAGTCAGCATTGCACGTCGTGGTAATCGGTGTTCAGGCATACATAACAAGTACTTCAATCATGGATTCAACATTAAGAGTGACGTAACGTACTGCAAATGAAGCAACCAATCTTATTCTTATCTGAATAGATGAATATTAAGTAAAATAACAGGACTGTCTGTCACTTTAACACAAACAACTAACTAGATCTACGTGTAAAAAAACCGGGTATAAGGATAAAAATTGAATATGATTGGCAGCTTGTGACTAGATACTAACACTCAAGTTATCAACTGAAAAATGCAGGACTAGAAATTATATTAAATGGTACTGAAGATAATGACGTACAAACATAGCTGGTGATATTTAGCAGACACTAGGAAACTAGCCATACTGGATGTTATTTAGAAGTAAACAGGTTACATATGAGGAATTTTTAATTCCCCACTTTTTATAGCAAGTGTCAAAACAATTTGGTGGTTTTTTTTTGAAGACTTCTTCACTGTCAGAATGTGGAATCTTGAGCGCCTATCACCATGAAGATAGAAAACATTGCACTTTGCAAGACATAATGACAGTCTTAATGACAAGACTCTTGAATCCAGGAAGGGGCAACGGAAAGCAACACATGCTAAAGCGTACCTACTTTGTTTGTCTACACCGTGTATTGTACAAACAACGTTTCTACAACAGGTAACAGTATCTATTATTGTTGTCTGACATATCTAAAGTTTGAAGACCTAAACTTTCCTCTTCTTTCTTCATCAATCAACACACAAGCACAGCCTAAATGCAATAAGTTGTGACTGTTCCTGACTAATTGTAGATATGTGTTTATTAATTCAGTAACTCCAAAAATCTTTAGTTTGATGAAGACTCATAGTTACAGGTCAAACGTTAACACTAAATGCTAAAGCCATGGAAAATTTTATATACAAGAATGGCTTCGATTAGTTTTTAGACGAAGTTGTTTCATTAGTTCAAAACCAATTATTCATAATCAACACGGACCCTTCCACAGATGTGTATCGACCCATGTCATATTATATCAGTAAGGGATAAATTAGCAAGATGTGTGGCAAGAAAGTCGAAGTAATGGTGCTCACAATGTCAGTGAGGAAGACTAAATATTAGATAACATGGTTCAAAAAGAAGGAAAGAATCTAAGGAACATAAAGCATGAAATAATATTGAATATGAAGACCTAGGAGAAGAGAATGTGTATTAATTAAAGGCAGTGATCAATCCTGAGCCATATCTTGATGACTCCAACAAATGATAGCAGTTCTAGAGCGGACTCCAACCTGATATTCCGCATATATCAATACGGCCTGACTGAACAGTCACTACCGTTGTGGACTGATGTCATGTTTTGGCTTCGCCGTCCCTAGCTTCAGCCAACACGGACCATAGAAAACTGGTTGGACATACGCAGCACACGTCCAGACACCTCAATCAGTGAAAATATATCACCGCATTAACCAACTTATTTTCTTCGTCTAGTGCCCTAGTTCTAGCCCTGAAAATGCTTACTCCCTTGTTTCACGACAAGTTGGTAATGCTTCGAAAATACCTAGGTCAAACTCCAGCAGCTTATACATGTTTTCCAGTTCACGAGCCATTTTTACGACCACATTAATACATAGTGAACTGCTGCATCGTCTCAGAAAATAGACGTCTTGCCTACTTCATGAGCGGTGTTGGAAAAAGCCAAGTGAACTTTCTGAATTTCCTGAGATTTTATCAGCCAATAATAAATTAGCAGTGGTGAAACGCTGACGAGAATTTAGGTGGTAAACGAGACCAACTATTTTACTAATACAAACCAGTAAGTCATGATACAAATCAATCCCAAAGTAACATTTTGCAATTAGGTAGAAGAAAAAGAAGTCTAAAGACTCGGATTTGATGCTCCATAGCAGATTTAAACTGTTTCAATTATGAGTAGTCTTTAGACAATCTGATACCAAAGCCAAAACCCGGAAGAGTATTTAATTACACTGCTGATGATGTAAGATGACAAGAGCCAAATGCCTTATATTTCCGGACTAAACTTTTATCTGCCATCATCTTAATAGCCACAATGAAAGTACCACTATAAATAAGTTAGTCTGAGACCCGAACCGTCTTCAGCCCATCGTGACCTTTGTTGTTTCTTCGAGTGATTACATAAACCCCAGTTAGATTTTGAGGATCAAAACGGATATGGTGAAATTATTATTGTCGCGCACTCAAAAATCATTTTTGAAAACCCACCGAAATAACTTAGTATAACCGAACCACTGTAATGGGATCGCTGGTATCTAATCGTTATTTATTTATTTTAACACAGATATTGGTACAATGAGGCACCAAATACATATGCGCCACATGAATCATTCGGTTTATGTGAGGGCTGTGATACTGCCCGGGTGCCAAACCTGAAGGTCTGATCCACAAGGCAGTGGAGCAACGTAAGGAGATGCGGTCCCATGGTAGCCGGTGACAAACGACTGATTTATACGCCATTTGTTCCTTCAGAATACTGGAGCCCATATGCACCATTGGTTTGGAATCAGGGTTTCCCAACTCCCCTAGGTGGACTCTCTATGTCCACCGACCCGGTTAAAGCACTGGACGTTCGCTTTTTATCCTCTCAATTTCGTACACAACACCGCCACGAGAAGGCAGTGAGCAGGACTTTCCTGGCAGAGGCTATATACGCGTGGCCATGTGAGAGCATTTCGAGAGGGAGAGCGGACTCTCCCCACTCTCGGCCGTACCAGGGCATTTAGGGGCTTTTTTCCTACATCAATCAATACATCTAATCGTAGATAAGAAAATATGCTCCCTTCTTAGATTTTTCTTCCGATGAGCTTGACTGAAACATTTCAGAAATCCTTACGGTTAGTCATTAAAGCATTTGAACTTTTCAATGACTGAATTTTCCCAGCACATTATTTCATAACCCTTCAGATTTTAATATCCCGATTGAGGACATAAATATTGACTGACAATCCACTGCTGTTGTTGTTTCGAAGTTTACAGCAACAGAAAACATATACATTGCATCAGTCTAAGTTAATAAGCTTCTGAACATATCACGAGGTAACCGGTAAAAAGAACGAATGTGATAAAAGGAATCGAGAAAGTTGGTGTCACTGAAGATTGTAGTATCAGAAACTACCAATTTATTTAACATGTGAAAAAATATAATGTTTAGGAATGTTGCGTACATCAATGATCTGGGAAAATTTGGAACAAGTTAATTAAAGGTCTTAGATTTATTAGCAATTTCTATACCATAAGAAAGAACTAAGACAAACTCCAAGTTATGTATCTAACGTCCAGTGAAATCAAGTAAAATAGAAGCTTACATCGTAAAATATGAAATTTCAAACGCTTCAAAGATTAAATTATTGAAGCCACTAATTTTTGGCGATCTCTATGGTTCTGGTCAGACATTTGTGCCCGCATATTACTTACCTGATGCCCTCAAACTAATCTACTAATTGGTTAAGTCAAAATAATATAACTATTCCTAGAGAATGCAAATAATCCTTGCTTTTCTAATCTACCACGGTTTCGAGGACTTACATTTTACTAAGCGGAAACATGTTTTGAAAAGTATGCCTGGTTCGCCTAGCACACTAACTTCATTTCAACGTTGATAGTCTACAAATTGATTATGTACAAAGGAAGTTTCAGCGATACGTTGTCTCGTGAACAGCAAACTACTGTACAGAATTCACGTTAGTTGGACGGTAAGATCACGCATTCTGATACAAAACGAGTAGTTTTTTAACGCATATATAAACAAAGTATATGCTTTGCTTCAAGAAGCCTCGAGTATTTCATGCCACCTGAGTAGTGTAACCACGTGTTGAGGTGATCTTTTCAGCGATAAGTAGAAATTTTCAAAGAACTATGATCAATAACCTTCGTTTAGATAATTTCAGTATAAAAAACTCATTGTATCACGATTTTCGAATCGCTGACAACCCTAGAGTAGTGAGTCAGAAGCACTGACCATAAAATTGTGAAAATCTGGATAATAATATGCACCAGATTATTCAACGAAATAACGTCAACTAGATTGCTGTTTTGTATTTACCTGTTTAACGCCGTAAAGTATTAAGGACAAAAAGAGCTCAGTTTTGAGACCTTCACTGCGAAACGAAAAAACAAAGAAAACCAATGTTTGTTAATCGCTATTAGGAATAAACTAATATGTTTTCAATTCCACAGTGAATGCGGTTGTCGCATTACAACTAATATACGAAATGAAATGGTTTAACAGGCTCAAATAGTTATCTCCAGTTTTAAATTATTCCCTGAACTTTGTAGCACTGTGAAGGTCCAGTCTCGTTTTAAATATATCATCAAAAAATGCTGATATTACGTGTTCTGGAAGGGGATTTCAGTAATTCACTACTCTGTGAGAGAAATGAAACTCTAGACGTAAACGACCTAACATCGATTTTGAACCTCCTAGAAAGCCCTCTGAAATTATCAGTCCTAGACGGAAGGAAGAAATAAGGCATATTAATACCAACGTCATTGTTCAGTATACGGTAGGCCAATACTAGATCATCTTGTACTCTACGGTAAGATAACGGAAATAATTTGAGGTGTCTCATTCTGTTTTCATAAGATAGGCCAGAGACACATTTTACCAGTGTAAATATTATTTTTCTATACATCTATATATCACATTCTTACATTTTTTTGTTATTATAACCAGTGTTATCCCCGGACACTCTGAGGGGAGCCATGTGGAGATAGACCTGACAAGCTTATTTTCCAGACAGTTTTTAATATTGTTTGTATTTATTTTGTCAATCTTTCACTGTGTGTATATTTATCATTGAATGACTGTACCTGTTGTTTTAGTGAATGACGTTGAACACGCTTTCCGTTGTGTTATTGACATAGCGTGACATACTGTTGCTTGCTAACAAATCTATTGATATACACACATACCTGGTTCTACTTTCGCTTGTGATTGAGCTAACTGCACTCTAAATCAAATATAATCTGCACTTATAGACTGTAAGTCGGAATATATCATACCTAACATCGTTTTACATTACTGGAGAGTCCAACAACCTGAGCGGAATTACCGAACATTTATAATTGTGGATTTTCAGTACCAGACCCAATCCGAATACACAGCAACTTGGTGAACTTAAGTAAAGTCCCAACTTTTCTGTTGTATTTGTAACAATTAACCTTATTATTCACTCCTAATAACTTGGTTAATACTTTTTCACGTTCATATTTGTCTGGTCCATTACACCATTTTAGTCCCTTGTCATTGGACTCGTTCCTGCATATCCGTCTCATACTTGAGACAAAGACGCGCTAAATGATATCTCGCGAGAGTCGGGTATACTACTCCAAACATTTCTTTTTCTAATTGCTGAAAAGACCTACGAGTAGCCCATAATAACCAAAAGCCTTTCGCAGCAGCAGCTCTGTATTTGCTCGTAGTTTTTAGGTAGTTGTTTATTATGACTCCTAAATCTTTATAAACCACAACTTTGGGTAACATAATTCTAAGTATTGTGTAGTGACATGAATCATCATAGTCATGCAGTTTCATCCCCACAATCTTGCTAGAACTCGCTTCTAATGACCGTCTGTCCATCCATGCCACAAATGAGCTGATATAATCCTGTAACACTATTCTGTCTTACAAACTATGCATGGGTCTCCAAATCATTCTCATCGATAAAGAATAGAACGGATGAATTTGCTACAGTTGATAATTCATTCACATAAAGTAGAATGAGAAGAGGACAAAGGTTTGTACCTTAGGGAACTCCACCATTTACGTGTTCCCGCGCTGAGAGAACTGTATTTTCTCTTACCCACCGTCTCTTATCACTGAGGACGTTATAACAGACTTCAAACCTTTCCATTCTTAATTTAAGAACCGAATGCAGAGGCCTTGTCAAAGGCTTTACTTAGATCTAAAAAAATTATATCCACAGGAATATTTCGATTTTTTGCTGCAGCCCAATCTCCTCTTGCTATGAGAAAATTTTTCAAGCACGATAAGTCCTTCAAAAATCATGTTGTTTCCTGGATAAAAGATCGTACCTTTCCAAATAGTTTATAACGGCAATCCGAATAATCTTTTCAATTAGTTTCACAACTGCACTAGTCATAGTAACGGGTCGATAATTAATAAATAAGTATCTGCTCCCCACCTTGTATATCGTAATTTCAGTCTCTTGACAGTCTGGACTAGCGTCTACTGATCAATCCATCTTAATAGCGCTCTCCTGAGTGGCCGGTATGTTAGCTCTCCATACAATTGAGCGGGGCTTAACCTGATCGTATATCATGTCACAGGCTCTAAGCATGAATTAAAAGACTGAGTGATCGCTACTGTCTAACGGTGGAAGAATATTTAGATTGGCAATATGTTCAGTCGTATGAGTGATTACAAAGTCTAACAAAGAGCCTTTAAGTTTGAATACATGCTCTACTAATGCATGCTCCAATACCGTTATCACAAACTTATTATCAAGGGAGTTCATAGCTCCTGATATAGCCATTTCAGCTCAACAGATGTCAGGTGCATTATGGTCTAATATCAAGCATCAGTTATTTGCACTCCATAGCTGAATGCTGTAGTGTCGGTTATTATGTTAATCCCATATACCTTATTCTAGCTTTCGGACGGCTCAATCTATCCATTCTACTTGAGTCACATTTTGACCTTGTTAATTATTCTCCTATCGATCTTGACTGTTACTATTGGAGCGCATATATGTGTGTAGACTTCTTATCCTATTCATCACATGTCGGTAACGTATTTTTGTGTGACCACTTCGAGTCAGACCACGGGCCATTAGAGTGGAGAGCCCTTTGACAACATCATCCGTTATAAATAATGACAAAAAAGAGTCCCACAATGTGCTTTAAAATACAGCCACCGGCCAAGCATATTGGACTGTGATAGATGACACTGAGTATAAATATAAATATCTCACAGCTAATGGTTTTACAAGTTCCAGTATCGTGGGATTCGCAAGCAAAGGAGCAGATATTTACGTTATTAGCTATATATAGAAGGACACAACCTCCTGTGCTACATCTATGTCTTTTACTTCTTATGTAATAGAATCCGGATAATTCTGGAGTAATGTCAAAGCCGTGGACTAACTGATTTTTCTGTCACAGATACAATAAGTAACCCGGAATGGGAATTCGCCAATGACTTGCCAACCAAGGTGTTGCTTTTAGCTTTTCACCTTTTACTTCTTTTCCGCCATACGATCGTCCATTTTTCATCACTCTGGACAGATACACCGAGACTATTAGGAACGGTGACGGTTTTATCCAGTTCCTCAATTTCTACTGTAGATGCATGACTACCCATATCCATATCAAGTGGCGCTTCACTCTCTGTTAACAGCATGTACTGTATTGACACATATTTCACTGTCAGTACTCGTGTTACTTGCACAGCCACCATCTCTCTTCTTACAGAAAAACATAAAAAGCCAATGAGTGTTAGGCTTCAAGCATCTTTTGTATGCGATGGAACTTAAACGGTCACACATCTTATGGAACCACTTCTTACACTGATCATATTGTATTCCTTCTTCCACAGGGAACAAGTGATTTGGCTGTCCACATTTATAAGTACTACCAACCAATGTAATTAGATTAAGAAGGTTCAAAACACAATATGAACACAAGTATCAGAACCAAAGAGAAATGAAGTGCCAGAAGACGAAATTAAGCAAAAGATTGAACCTTAATCGAAATACTTCAAGTTAGGTCAATAATGTTTTTGACGCAACACGTACACAAGGGCGAATTAATCACAACAAGTACAACAAGTACCGCAAAAATAGGATCTGGTAAATTATGGAAAGATATTGTCCTTATTTCTTGAGACCATGTCAGATTTTCTCATAAAAGGACTCCTGAGAAGTCGCCAGTAGCAAACTCCAACATTTAACTACTCTCAAGGAATAAAAGGTGTGCCTACAGCCCGCTCAGGTGTGTTGCATTTCCAGTTTCCGAGTGTTTAGCGGCCCGTGGATCTGACTCCAAGATCGTATAAATGATTGTTATCGCCTATTCTCGTATATCATGGTCGACTTGAATCGCGCTAGTCAATAACGGAATTAAATAAGTCGAATAACGAGAATTGACTTGTGAATACATATATTTTGTACATGAAGCGAATGAAACAGCAAAGCAAAATGACACGTATGGAAGATGGCTGGGAAGCCAACTCCATTATATTCAAGCGTTACTCAATATTTATAGTCAGACAAAATAAAGATACAGACATGTGATTAATGGAATAAGAAAGGCACACACACATACGCCCATATAAAAACAGTCAAGACTGACAAGCGAATAATTGACAAGGTCAAAATATGACTCAAGTAGAATGAATAGATTGGTTTGTCCAAAAACTAGGATAAGGTATATGGGCTTAAAATAACAACTGATACTACAAGTGTTACTCCAACGTTTGTGTAGGGACTAAGCTTAAGGGAATAACTAAAAGTGTTTAAGATGCTATAAATCATTAGGTCAACCCCACGACTCTTGTACTCTGATGGGTGAACGTTCAGTGATTAGAGTTGATCTTGATAAAACTTGAATTTGAGTCCACGAACTGGTATTATGGCTTGCCGTTGGAAACGTTCCAGAATATCCTTATTTTTGTGTAGTCAGGGGTGAAATAATATGTTTCTGTACTCTTTTCGACTTGAGATATTTCTAAGGGGGAGTAATCCGAGCTGTATTCGTTGTCTCCAGCACACCTCAGACGGACTTCTTTACACTTTTGAGAGTTAAAGGTAAGTCCGCTGTTGTCTGCTCAACTGTTAAGTCGAGTAAGATCCTCCTGAAGTGACAGTTTATGATCTTGGTTGCAGACTTCTCTGCAGAGATTCATATCGTCGGCAAAAAGTAAAAAATCTGAAGATTTATTCAACGGGAGATTGTTTAAATAAATTAAAAAATAAGAGGCCCTAATACCGAAGCCTTGTGGACCCCACAAGGATATTTCATGGCCTGAGAAACGTAGTCGAAGGCTTGACAGAGGTGAATCACCAGTCCTCTAAGTAAGAATTAGATGTG